AACAGATTTAATTCTGAGATTGCGCGGGCGGCGTCCGATTTCTTGGCAGGTCCGGCACGCTGATAGAGGCGCTGGAAGGCCCCTGTTGCAGGCCGTGTAATTTGTCATTGTGTCGACACACATTTCGTGACCGTCCAGTGCGGCTATACTTGACCACAACGAGCCGAGCCGAGCCGGGCCGGGCCGAGCCGGAAGGGTGAAGGGTCTCGCGCTATTCTGGCGCGGTGACACGGCAACTAACAGTTAATTTTTCAGATGTAATCGGCCAGCCTTCACGTGACATTCCGAGATAGTTCTCATTTTGTGGCGGGCGACACAAGCTGACATTTGGGCGGACGGGGAAACGTGTTCAATAAATGAACAGCCCGGGGAAATGCTACGACACTGGAAAGGCTGGCCGACATCTGGCCGCACTCGACTCGGCGAGGAAATAAAACCAAAGTGTAGGAGCAGCCACGCCCAGCCCATCAGGCGCTCTCTCTCGCACCATCGCGGATGCAATGGCCAATGAATCTCTTTGCATTTTAAGCAGCAGTGCCGTGGCCCCGGGCGCCGCGCCGTGTGTGTGCGGCCGAAGCTGTTGCTCGCTTGAGTGGCGCCTCCAAGCCCCTCCAAGACGGCGCGGATTTTGTAGATAGAAAAATGATAAAAAATGAAGTTTTGGGGAAAAAATGAAATTGGCGAAACCGTGCAGTTTCCATTTTGATTTACATACGCCATAGTATAAGACACAAATAAGACATCCATCGGAAATACTGTATCATTGCACTTTCAGATTGCCATTTCAAAACACAACTCCTAAAAAGGCAATATTGTAATTTAAATATTTTTTTGAAACTTTGAGTGCTATTTAGGGCGCGAAATGGGGAGTGACAACTCACTGACGCTCGATCCAGCGGGACGCCGCCCCGTGCCCTGGAGGTGTGGAATGTGCGGGGTGGAAAGCCATCCCACAATAAGTTTCCAGTCCAGCGAGCACACTGCAAGTGATATTGCCCGCCTGCTCCACTTCAGCGCTCCCCCCGGAGGCCCGGAGGCCCAGGGCCGGAGCTGATGACTGATTCCGGGAGTCGTCTTCGTCATTCTGTCTCTCTCGCACCCTACGGGGTGCCCCATGAGTGCGAGAGAGACAGCACGACGAAAACGACAGGCGGAAAAGGTCTGCTGCTGAAGATGCTGCAGGGCCTTCGGGCACTGCAGCGGGGCTGATTCCGATCAGAGCTTTTGTCGCTCTGTCTCTCTCGCACCGCTGCGGCCCACCAAACGAGTGCGAGAGAGCGACGAACCAGCCCGCTGGAAATTTAAGCGCGACGTAATCCGGCACGGAAGGGGTCCACAGGGTCCACATCGCGGGGCACTTGTGGCGGCAAACAGCCACTGCTTCTTCTGGGAACTGTTTACACGGAAGGAGCAAATATTGCGAGAAATGCGGGCGCCGCTTTTTATACGGCGCTCTCGACAGGCACACTGGAAAACACATGACACAGGAAAACGGTCTGGAAAAAAAAAGGTTCAATCTATAAAACGATTGTCTGGTGGCAAAATGAAATTTAGCGGGTGTTGCTCTGTTGTTGTGTGGAGCACACCCTTCGCTTCGCGGTCCCACGTTGCCCGCCCGCGGCGCCACCCCGCCCCCACCACGCCCTACCCCGCCTTACCCCGCGCCGCCCCCGCACCCCGCCCCCGCGCGCCGCCCCCAGGGGGTGTGTGGGGATAAGAGGTCATCGAGGAAGCTAATGGCCATAATGCAACACCATGTTTATTTCCATGCAAAATGCTCGCAGAGAGAGAGAGAGAGAGAGAGAGAGAGAGAGAGAGGCGCTCCCCTCGCCCTGCCCTCGGGGAGGATTGGCCGGCGAGGATTTCAAATCCGGAATATATTGGCATGTCTGTGGGGTCGGCGTCGTCGCGGTGCAGTAGCGCGTGCGGTTTGTAGCGCCGCGGCACGCGCCAGACAAGGACAGCCGTGCAGCCGACGGGCCCGTTGCCGATCCGAGCAGTGACGAAATGACCGCTCTTCCGGCGTTCCGGCCGCTCCGGGACTCCGGGGCTTGACTCCGGGGCTGTGCTGCGCCACCACTGCTAATGACGCGCTTGTGCTGCCAACACGCTGCTAACTCGATTGCCGGCCGTTTATACCAGGGCCCCTGCCTGCCTGCCTGCCTGCCTGCCGGCTGGTGACTTTGGCCCCCGGCGCCGCCTGCAGCCCGGTTCCGAGCTCGCTTTTCTCTCGTCGCGCTGTCTCTCTCACTCGCGGGGCGTTCCGCAGGGGTGCGAGAGAGACAGAGCGCCGCTCGGCAGCAGCCGGCCGCCGTCGCCGCCCCGCGTAAGCGTATCCGTCAAACTCGATTTGCGCCGCCAATTGTCTGCGAGGCGGAGTGGCATTATTCGACTGAATCAGATCGCAGTGTCGTGCCTCTGTCGTGTCACCGACTTGTAAAGCCGCGCTGCCGCCCGCCTCGCCTCGCCTGGGAATGCTCTCGCTCGCTCCTGCCTCCCACATTCGCTTTCACGTTCGGTTTAGAAGGGAACGGAGTGCCAGCAAGTGTGAACACGACGGAACAAAAATATTTTCACTGCAGAGGTCTGTATTCCTGAAACAATGAGGGTCGCGGTAGTGAATGCGTAGCATGAGGACATTAAGATAAATAATATCAGTAAAAAGCAGCCTTGTGGTGACACACTCGTCTGTTAAAAGGAACAGTCACAGACTTTGGAGTTTTCTTTCGTCAGGTTGGTACTCTTTTTGGGTAGGCCACGCGGCGGGCACGGACGAGCGCCGGGCTACCTCGCCGGTCGCAGGCGCGCCGCTCGCCCGGATCGGGGAGCTCACGGCAGGCAAGCCACGCCGCTGCTGGGCTGCTGCATGAAGCCGGGCGGGGCAAGGCGGGGGCTCCAGGCTGCAATTCCCCATTCCTCTGGCCAGGGATTTCGCTCCTCCTTTCAGCGATATGTATATTTGATGCGATTTTAATGCTCGCGGTTGGCGGGGTTGGCGTGGCCCGGCCCTAAGCAGCTTACGGATTTAGGCCCCATTTCGCCGTGTGCTGCTGGCATCCCGGGGCCCCGAAGGGCCGCCAGGGCCGCCGGGGGGAGAGGCGCGGGGCGTGGTAAGCTGCCTGGCCTTAATCTACGGATGTTGTTCGGGAAGCAGCCGTTAATGACACTTGCCAATTTGGTATCATTAACGAGGGCTTTTTCGGACACTCACGTCAAGGACTGTCGCAGTCAACTATTTTTGTGACCTCGTGCTCGTGGGGATTGAGGTTCATTTTGCTTTTCGCGGCAGTGTATTCGCTCTCCCGGCTCGGTGTCGAATTGCGGTGTGGATCCCAGTCCCGCCTCTCACTACGCCCCACCGCGCCCCACCACGCCCCACCACGCCCCACCACGCCCCACCACGCCCCACCACTCGCATTCCAGAGCGCCAACCAGCCCGAGGGGCGTGGCATCCTCGAGGGGCGCAACGCGGCAGCCAAATGGCGGCGCCATTCATTCCGGACGGCGTTCCGTCGCTCCGTCTCTGTCGCACCTCTCCAGTGCAGCCCATGAGTGCGACAGAGACAGAGCGACCAAAGTTGTCGTGAGTACACAAAGGACGGGGGCGGGTGTTTCTCGGACCCGCCTTCTACTCGGGGTGGCTCTGCCCTCTGCCATGCCGGGTTCATGAAGCGACACGCCTCCAGCCCCCTCGCACTCATGGGGCATCCGTTGGGGTGCGAGCGAGACAGAGCGACGAAATTACAGCTCAGATAATAAGTCACCGTGGACAAATACGGATCCATTGTCCGTCGACCGGCAGCAACAACAAGCAGCTCAATTTTTAATCAAGAGCATCGCGGCCCATCAAAGAGCCATCGCGGTGGTGGAGGTGGTGCAGGGCGTGGCGGCGGCGGCGTGGCCGCGCTCCTCGGGGACGCCGTCGAGAGGGTCGTGGTGGTCGTGGCGGTGGCGGCGCGAGTGGCTCGCGGATTTGATGACTCTCGCCGGGATGCTCCGCTCCGCCAGGCTTCGCTTCGCTTCCTCCCCCTCAACTTGAGCGGAATGCCATCGCCGCTTCTGCGCGATTTAAAATGACAACAAACGAGAAGAACCAAAACAGACTACAAAACGGAATTAATTTTGATTTTTTTTTTCTCTCTCGTTGCGGTTTTGCCAAATTTTTCGTCTTCCTTCTTAGATAAAAAGACCTGTAGAAGACATTGAAGCGGATCACTAGGCAAACAAAATATTTTCCTGATTTTACCTTGTCCTGCACAGCGTTATATCTCCGCTCTCTCTCGCTCGCACGGTACGCTCTAAGACTGCGAGAGAGGCAGAGCGACGAAAACGATGCTCGGAATCGCTCTGCATGGTGTCTGATTTGTTTTCGGGTACGTACTGGCGGTAAGTACAAAACGGCCGTGCGAGGCCTGAGACGCCGCCGTCCGGGGCGGGGCGGGGCGGGGCGGGGAGGGGAGGGAGGCGGTCCTTTGTGTTGACGGATTGAGGGGGATGCGGCGGGGGTGGCGCGGCGGGGGTGGCTGCGGATGAAAATCCGCGTGGGGGAGCGGCTCAGGCGAGGTTCCCACACACTCGCGGACCCCAGGGAGCGGCGCGCCGCGGCCGCCGTGGCGCTGAGCAGCGGGAGGGGATGGGAGGGTGCCAAAAGGATCACCTTGAGGACCAAGATTGAATCCCGGTCCATCCGAGAATTTTTGACCTCTTTCGCAGAAGATCATGCCACGCGGCTCCACTGCCACGCCTCGGCTAGCCTCGGCGAGCCGCCGCCCTGCCATAAAGATACAGCAAAGGTTGCCGCCTAGAGCCCCGCGGCCCCGCGGCCCCGAGGCCGGTACGCTGTAAGCGTGCACGTGGCGGAACGAGTGGCTCTGGCTCGGACTGTACTTTGCACTAGACTTTTCTGGCTCGTATCTTGCTGTGCTTTCCGCACTTCTCGCGGACTTGTTACGGACGTGACTGGCCGTTTACTCAGAACCGCAGTTTCAAAAAGGCAGCTCTCCGAAAAAAAAAACCTTTTTATTTCTGCTCAGTAATTTTTATTGATGAGACACAATCCTTCGGTGAAGTTCTCAGTTCATTTCTCTGGGTTTGTTTTTCGAAATTAGTGTGGACAAATGGGATAAGAGCAATTTTGACACCTTGGAGTCTACCATCACTCCAACTTTCCTGGCAATCGGGGTGTCCGGCCTGAAAGTTCGTCAGACGACGCACTGGCCCTGGGCCTCGCTGAAGGTGGTGCCGGTGGGGCAGACCCCCGGCGTGGGCGCGCTCAGCTTGGAGCTGCTCAGAGCCACGCAGTCCACGAAGCCGTTGCCACCGGCCGCGGCGCCGAGCTGCGAGAAGCGGCCCTCCTGGTCGCAGCGCTCCACGCACACGCCGCTCTGGTCCATGGTGAGGCGCTGGTCGCCGCAGGTGCCGACCAGGGCCTTGGAGGCGTCCTTGCTGGTGCACACGGCGTAGATCCAGGGCGCCGGGGTGTACACCTGGTACTGCACGGGCTTGTTGGGCTTGGGGTCGGTGCAGTGCAGGGTGTAGCAGGTGCCCCTGCTCTTGGGCACGCAGTGCGTGGTGCGCTGGTCGTACACTGTGCCGGGGAAGGCGCTGCAGTCGAAGCGGTACGCGTTGTTGCCCACGCACAGGTAGTACCTGGTGCACGACGTCAGGTCCGGCCAGTAGCCGTCCGCCGAGCAGTTGTACGCGTTGGCGGGGATGGGGTCCGGCGGGGCCGGGTTGCAGGTGGCGCCGCTGGAGGGGGGCGTGGCGGTGCAGGAGGCCGCGTTGCCCTCCAGGGTGCAGTACGGCGTGGCCGCCGGGCACTTGGACGTCACCACGTACTGCCACACGTCCGTCACGTAGGCGCACTTGACCAGCGAGGTGCAGTCCGCGGAGCAGGACGTGGCGCGGCCCTGGCACACGGGGTTGTTGACGAGGGCCTGCAGGAGGCCGCCGAGGGGGCGCGCCTCAAGCGACTCCTCCGCCGGCACCTCCACGTCGGCCTGGCACCGCGCGGCCGCGACCAGCGCCAGCAATCCCTGCGGACGCCCAGAACGGTCAGTTTAGCACACGAGCAAGCACAGGAAACCAACTTCAGATTTCGAAAAAAAAATTTCAAAAACAGTTAAGGCACTGCAAGACCTTTGGCTGCAAAATGCCTTTCATCGTCTGAAGAGGAGCACTCAGGAGTGGATCCAGGGGGAGCGATTCCTTGGGGCACGTGGCACCTCCCCCCCCCCCATATCTCCTAAAGGCTTGCCCCAATAAGTAAGTAGGCAACTTTTGCGACATCGCCCCCTTCTCAACTTGTCTTTGAAACCGCCCTTGGGAGCTCTCACCAAAAGCACTGCTTGTCTCGACATGGTGCTGCAGACTGGACCGACCTGGAGGCGGTGGTGGCTTTTAAAGCTCCGCGCGGGAGGTACATTTCCTCTTAGCGCCCTTATCACGTTTACTGTGCACTAGCGTCAGGCGGTGCTCTGTAACGTTTCTCCTTAGCTGCAGCGAGGTCGAAGTACAACATAGTAGAGCGCCCCGCGCGGCACCCCGGCGACAAACATTTGGCGTCGGATCAAGTTCTACGGCAGACTACGAGGAAAAAGAAGGAATCGTCGAGAAGCGCTTACTTAGAGGAGGATGTCGAGAATTTTTATCCAAATATCTACTCCGAAATGGCAGGCAAACAGTGTAGGCCTCTGCACGTTCCTTCCTTGGCTGCAAATTTCTGACCCAAGCAGAGTCCCCGTCCCCCAGTGACCACTTTAAGTCTGTCTGGGATTCACTTATGAGTTCGCGTTTTCCCGGTATCGGTATCGCAAAAAGTAACTTTGGCCGTTCGAAAAATGCAACTCCTTTCGCTTGTGTAACAAGCACTCACCAGAAGTACTGTTTGTCCCAACATGGCGCTCCTGACTGGACGGACCATGGCGTGGCTGAGGTGACTTACGATGCAGCCGTGCTGAGGTTCTTCCGATTAGCAGATGCCCTTATCGGCTGCACTTACTTAATCAAGCAATTACTTTATTTACTGTGCTCTGACGTCAACCCGTTCAGACTCAAAGCCGGCTGAATTTGCCGACCCGAGCTATCCCTGAGCGGCTGGTTGGCCAAAAGAGGTTGTTTTGAAGTCGCAGGATGATACCACCTCTTTCAAATAAAGAGATATTGCTGTGTTCAGGAAAAGTCTCCAAATAATATCAAAAATTTTAGATTAAATTGTCTTCCATACAGAGGCGCGTTTGGGGTTGCCTGCTAGTAGGCGTTGTAACTTACACTAAAACCATCACTGTTCAGATGACCTCAGATCACTTTTCAAAGACGCCTACGTATGCGTTATGTTTCAGAAATGAGTAAATGTGTAGGAGTTCGTCGCGTAAGCAGTTTTATAGCGCCCTCATTTCACTCAAGACAGGAGCTGACAGAAAAAGTTAATTGAAGCAGTTCACAAGTATGGAATTGAGTGTCCTTCAGGTGGAAAAAGAAGTCAGTGATAGGCCTGTAGTGTTCTCAAGTACAGTGAAACAAAACGGAGTTCAGGGTAAATTTTTGTATATTTCACAGTACAAAAAGAACGGAGGTACACTGCAGTCCACCTAGTCCTGGCAGAGCTGAGTGGTGGCGTCGAATTTGGATTTTCCAGGACAAGTCTTGCGCACGGGAGAGCTGAGCTTGTTGCCGCCCAGGTCCACGCACTCGGTGTAGTTCGTGTCGTCCACCCGGAAGCGGCCCGCGCTCAGACAGCCCGGCACGCACTGGCTGGTCTTGACGTCGTAGGCCTGGCCCTCGTCGCACGTCCCGATGATGGCGGTGGCCGCGGTGTTGTCCACGCACAGCGCGTAGATCCGCGGGTCCGGCGTGTACGACACCAGGGTGTCGGGCTTGCAGGTGGGAACGAAGCACTGCGCGCTGGCTGACGGCACGCAGGTCTTGGTGCGCTGGTTGTACACGGTGCCGGGGTAGGCGCTGCAGTCCATGGGGTAGGCCTCCCAGTCGGAGCAGATGTAGTACTTGGTGCACGAGGTGAAGTCGGGGTAGTAGCCGCTAGCTCTGGGGCACTGGACCGTGTTCACCGGCTTGGGGGTGTTGCATCCGGCGGGTGCCAGCTGCGTGTCGGAGGTGCAAGTCCCGTTCTAGAACAAGTAACCCCAAGGTAGTGAGTTCAGCCTTCCTGAATGCTGTGTTGGCAGTACTGTTTCAGAGAGGGTAAAATTAGCAGTAGTCCTTGGTGCACCGCACAAAATGAAGTAGCGAAGGAATAAGAAAACAAAGTTGCCAAAGGATCCTTCAAAAATTCCACTTACCGTTGGGTTGCAGTAGGGAGAGCTGCCGCTGCAGGTGCTGTTGCTCACGAAGTGCAGGATACTGTTTACCGTTCTGCAGGTGACCTGGACGTTGCAGCCACTGCAGGAATGCTCCACGCCGTTGCACCGGGTGTCGTTGGATGGAGGGGCGCCGACGAAGGAGGACAGCTGACCGAACTCGCCCTCCTCCACCTCGTCCACCCACAGCGACGCCTCGACCGCGAAGACGGTCGCGAGCGCGGTCGCGAACACCACCTTTGACATTGGCGCAAGGATGCGGAGTGGTCACAGGAATTCTAGGAAAATTGAAGCCTAGTTGGATGCCTGAATAATGAGTTCATTGATCAAGCATACAGCTACGTGTGGTCAACCGTAGAAAAGAAATTCCTCCGTGCATTCATATAGGAAGCGAAGGTGGAGGTGTACGATTGGTGAAAGGTGTCATAGTAGGCTTTAGTTCTGCCAGTAGACCAGCGGCCTAACACAGCGGTTCTCAACCTTTCTCGGCTCGCGACCCCAAATTTGAAGCCAAAAATTTCCGCAACCCCCAGGAAAAATTTCGCGACCCCACGGGACCCCTCCTTTAACATGCCACGGCGTCTGATCCGAGGCGGGCATTTTGCTCCCTCAACGGGCAACTGGTCTTTGGACCTTCCTTTAGCATGCCTTTGTTACGGAGTGCAATTATCAGTCTTAGTTTGGGAGCAGTATTGTCTCAAAGTTGGCCAAAACGCTCAGAAATGTCTATGAAAAATCGTGTTTTGGGCTGATTTTAAGCAGCCACAGCGTCTGATCCGAGGCGGGCATTTTGCTCCCTCAAGGGGCAGTTGGTCTTTGGACCTTCCTCTAGCATGCCTCTGTTACGGAGTGCGATTATCAGTCTTAGTTTGGGAGCAGTATTGTCTCAAAGTTGGCCAAAACGGTCAGAAATGTCTGAAAAATCGTGTTTTGGGCCGATTTTAAGCAGCCACTGCGTCTGATCCGAGGCGGGCATTTTGCTCCCTCAACGGGCAATTGGTCTTTGGACCTTCCTTTAGCATGCCTTTGTTACGGAGTGCGATTATCAGTCTTAGTTTGGGAGCAGTATTGTCTCAAAGTTGACCAAAATTGTCACAACGATTTTTCAAAGACACTTGCGACCGTTTTGATCGACTTTGAGACAATACTGCTCCCAAACTAAGACTGACAATCGCACTCCGTAACAAAGGCATGCTAAAGGAAGGTCCAAAGACCAATTGCCCGTTGAGGGAGCAAAATGCCCGCCTCGGATCAGACGCTGTGGCTGCTTAAAATCGGCCCAAAACACGATTTTTCATAGACATTTCTGAGCGTTTCGGCCAACTTTGAGACAGTACTGCTCCCAAACTAAGACTGATAATTGCACTCCGTAACAAAGGCATGCTAAAGGAAGGTCCAAAGACCGATTGCCCGTTGGGGGAGCAAAATGCCCGCCTCGGATCAGACGCAGTGGCTGCTTAAAATCGGCCTAAAACACGACCCCAGCATCGCCGCGACCCCTTAAAAAAATTTCGCGACCCCGCTTGGGGTTGCGACCCTAAGGTTGAGAACCACTGGCCTAACACCACGAAAGTGGACAGTGGCGATTCCAAGTCAGGTTTGGAAATCGGAATAAGACGTTCACGTTTCCTGGGGCTCGCAAGAAGTAACTCAGGCTGTTTGAAATATACGACAGACTTCTTTTCCTTGCCTAAAAAGCACTCACCAGAAGCACTGTTTGTCCCAACATTGCGATGCAGACTGGTTGGACGGTGGCGAAGGTGAGGTTTTATATGCTGCAGCGAAGAGGAAGTTTCGGTCAGCATCTGTGTTCTTATCGGCTGTACTTACTATGTAAGCGCAATCAGTTAATTACGCAGCTTGTCCAAGGGACACAAGGAAGAAAGAAAGATTGTCCCGCGCTGCCTCGCAGAGAGACGAATGTCAGACAAGTGTTACGCCTCCAAATGCGTTGTAAGTTTAATACCTGATTAAATGTTTAGGAGTTTGTTGCGTAAGAAGTTTTGTTGAGCTTTTGATTCAAAAGAGATATAAAAGGACCTGGGCTGTTCTCAAGTTTGGAAAGTGTATAGTAGGGATGGGAAAGCGCAATGTCTCGAGATTTCTCGGGAAAAACAAAACGGAGTGAAGAGTAAAGTATTGTATTTCAAAGAGCGAAAATGAATTGTGGCCCGGTCCGGTGCGTGCTTCTTGGGTGTGTCTAGGGGTCCTTGCAGAGCTGAGTGGTGGCGTCGAACGTGGATGTTCCGGGGCAGGTCCTGCGCACGGGGGAGCTGAGCTTGTTGCCGCCCAGGTCCACGCACTCGGTGTAGGTCTTGTCGTCCACGCGGAAGCGGCCCGCACTCAAGCACGCCGGCACGCACTGGCTGGTCTTGACGTCGTAGGCCTGGCCCTCGTCACACGTCCCGATGATGGCGGTGGCCGCGGTGTTGTCCACGCACAGCGCGTAGATCCGCGGGTCCGGCGTGTACGACACCAGGGTGTTGGGCTTGCACGTGGGCGTAAAGCACTGCGCGTTGTTCTTGGGCACGCAGGACCCGGTGCGCTGGTTGTACACCGTGTTGGGGTAGGCGCTGCAGTCCATGGAGTAGGCCTCCCAATTGGAGCAGATGTAGTACTTGGTGCACGAGGTGAAGTCGGGGTAGTAGCCGCTAGCTCTGGGGCACTGGACCGAGTCCACTGGTTGGGCCGACGTACAGTTTGCGGCCACCAACGTCGCGTTGGACGTGCAAGTCCCCTCCTGGAACACAACCAAATGCCGTGAGCTCAGCCATCCGAACCACATGTCAGCAGTGCTGGAGAAAATTTTTCTAGGCACCGAAGTTGAAAGGATGGCCAACCTCGACCAGCCATAATATGCAACAATTATGCAAGAATTATGTGCGAATGTCGGCCAAAAGTTTAAAAAGGGACTTGGTTTTTACTCACAGCTGCGCTGCAGTAGGGGGTGTTTCCGCCGCAGGTGGTGCTGCTCACGTAGTACAGGAATCCGTTGACCCTCCTGCACGTGATCTGGTCATTGCAGCCGTCGCAGGACAGCTCCGCGCTGTTGCACCGCGCATCGTCGGTCGGGGGACCACCGGCGAGCAGGGACACCCTGTGGGCTATGTCCAACCACACTGACGCCTCCACCGCGCTCAGCGTCGCGAGCACCACCTGTAATAATCACGTATGTTGGCACCTTCCAAACAGAGCTTCGTGGTCACAGCAACGCTGGTACAGTTGCTTCATGAACGGCCTCATTCAAGCACACAAGCCATTGAAGACTTTACGCTAGAAGTAAAGCCTAGATTAGAAGTTCTTCCTTGAATGCGGGTAAGCGGGTGAAGAGCTGTACGGAGAACATCTGCACTGTGAGAATTTGTTGTCACTTTACATCAAAATCGTGGATGACATTTTCATCACTTGGAAATAATGGCACTTTAATCACAAATTGATGACATTTAAATTGAAGCTCCGATGTCATGAACAGGTTTGATGCCATTCTGGCAAAGAAAGTCCTGAAATTGTTAACTAGTGACAACCTTAATTTTCTCAGTGCGTGCGGAACAGAGCACGAACGTACCAGAGCGAATACAGCTGTTGAAGTCGCCATGATACCACCACAATGTACAATGTGCTGGCATTGGGAAGCGTCTTCCTTTTAAAGATGCCTAGCCCACACTTATCAGCGAATAAAATCCGCGGGTAAATGACGCTACTCGCAAGGTCGCTCTCTTATCTGCTTTAGTGGCGGACGGACGGTAAGCCCGAATCAGACGAGCTTTTTCCTCAGGAGGAAAAAACCTGTTAAAGCGTCAAGTAATAATAGCATGTTGCGGCTACAGGGCCATAGAGGACTCATTAATGAACTTTGCTCTGTGTGCAAATCTTTGTTTGTTTTTTTTGTGTTTTTTTTTGCCGTCACAAAATGTGGGCTGGTCTTATGTATGCAACAATTGGTAAAAAAAAATGCACTCCATTCTGAGCGTATGATACTCGATGTCAAACCATTCATAGAAAAGTAAAAACACGTTATTTTTAGGAGAAAAAAATGCCACGATCATAGAATTTATGTAAGTGCATGTGTCCTCTTTTCCTCGTTTGATTCATATTGCCCGAGCCCTCGTCCATGCAATCAGAGCAAAACCGTGCGTACACGAGTGTGAGCCGAATCGGTACGAATTGCAACCGACACAGACTGGCGCAGTGCCGGTTCCTCTTTATCTGCTTAAGTGGAAACTCATTATCTGGCGAGCTCCGAGAACCGCGTTCATTTTCCTGTTTTCGTGGTTTGAAGAGCAAAAGATGAGCAGCTGCTTCGGTTTTGCAAGGGTGCTAGAAGAAAGAACTTCTGACGGCATTTCTTTATTGTAGTTAACTTATTGGCCAGGTCGATCCTGATTTATTTCGTGTGTGCTAAAGGAAAGCTTTTTCTCCATTTGACACTCCTTTATTCAACGGGTGTGACGTCACATTCGTTGGTTCAGACGTGACGCGGCCGTCTAATCAACATTCGAACAAATGTGACGTCATATCCAAACGAACGTGAGTATAACGTCAAAGTCCTTGAATAGCGGAGTAAGGTGCGGGGGAGGGGGTGGACAGGTAAAGTAAATGTAAAGACAACAGACAGCTGTGGTTTATTCGCTATGCCAGCCAGCCGGCCAGGAGCCTCTCCACGGCCTTGCGGGTCTTCTTCATCCATGGCGGGTCGTAGTCGTCCCTCGGGAACAGGTCGTGGGCGTGGGACGCTCCTGGGAACAACAGAGGGATCCTCAGACCACGCCGACGGAAGGCCTTCGATGGATCGTTTTATGAAGCGCATCGATACGACGAAGGCTCGACGTATCGCAATGCAATGTCACATCACTCTATACATGACATGACTTCCGCACAAAATTTGGCAGTAACGAGGTTCAGCGGTGTCGAGACATCGCGATGCTATCAATCCGAACACTGACGAAATCACGACAATCCTCGGTATGTATCGCGATAAGACATATCGATGATCGACCATTAATTCGATATATAGACGTACTCAGTACGGAGAAGACGTGCACGCCAGCGCCGGTGGCGGTGTCCGGGGAGAGCCCCCTCCACGGGTCCAGGTCCCCCTTCACGAAGATGGCGTTGGAGATGTCCGGCTTGAGGCCACCGTAATGTTTATTCAGGTCGGAAATGCTATTGATGAGGTTGTCCTTGGTGACGCTGGGGGCAAAGCGGTAGCAAAACCCCTCGTTATGCAATAAGTGGTATAGCTTTTTCATTTCTCGATTTTTTCGCTGCGTTTTCTTACGTTTTATCGAACACGTCTCTGCAGAGATTGATGTAGAAGTCCGGGGTGATCCTCGTGGAGTACGGGAAGGTGTCCGTAGAGCCGGTGGTGTCCGGGAACTGGCCGAGCTGCGTGCACTGCAGCCACAGCCAGGGTCGCGCTGGGGACAGAGAGGAGTCAGAGAGACCGCCTCAGCACTCCCCCGCCTTCCGCCGTCCGCAGCTCACTCACCACCCCCTCGGTTGGCAGTGTCGCTCCAGCCGCTCGGGGACAGCGCCTTCACCAGCCCCGAGTAGGACGTGTCCAGGCACACCCCGGGGTGGGTGTACGAGACCAGCAGGCCCAGCATCCTGAGCGGCGGGTCCGAGGGATTGAACATGGTCACGCAGTACGGCCGCAGCAGGTCGCCGCCCGGGAGGGGGTAGTCGGGCTCTTGCGGGCCGTCGACGTCCTCCTGCACCAGGTCGGCGAACACGCTCGCCACCAGCCCCAGGATGTGCGCGCGGTCCAAGTCGGACACCACGCCGTCGGTGGTCTCCGGAAGTGGGGTGCACGGCCTGCGTGGAGGGGCGCAAGGTGAGCCAAGGAGGAGTGATGGGGGCGTCGCAACCAACCAGCCGCACATAAAGCTCCCTGACTGCCCTGAGCCAGCCTGAACTTTCAAGACAGGTTACGGTGTACTGACCCAAACGCTCGATTGAATTCGTTGCGGCCATCAGCCGTGGACAAGCCGCGCTCAAGCGCCTCGAACGCTTCCTGCAGCAAGTCCGCGCAGTGGTACCGCTTGTGGTACCAGTCGGCCGCTCTGCTCACGACGGGGAAGTACGCTGCAACACGGAGGGCGGCCGGGAGTCAGAAGGCGGCAGAACGTCTACGCTTCAAAAGTCTCGTGGCGAGGATTCTCCACATTATGGTGAAAATTAGCTCCGAAAAATAACTGTATCTTCCAGATATTTTGTCGAATTTCTTTTGTATTACAGGGGAAATCGATAGGATGGTGCTGCCAGCCTTTCACCGTGAGAGAGGCTTTTGCAGGCTTTTGCAGTGGACGTACATGGGACGGAGAGCCTCGGCTCCAGGGTGGCGCTGGACGCCACCACGCCGTGGATGACGTCGGGGAAGCGCTGCCGGGCCCACGCGGCCACGGCGCCGCCGAAGCCCGCGCCGAAAAGCACCACCTTCTGCTGAGGCTTCAGCACCCCGGCCTCCCTGAGCTGGTCCAGGAACGACGCCACGTCCAGGAGGACGTTCTCCACCGTCAGGTGCCGCAGGCTGTCCACCGAGGTGTCTCTGGAAAAACAAAAGGAAACAGGTGTGGCTAAGCCTGAGGCTGCGGTTATCGGATTGGGTATCACAGTCGTGACACTCACGCAGTAGGGTGGCTGTTGGCACTGAAGAACCGCGTCGGCAGGAAGAAGCGGTCCGCCTTGTACTTGCGCGCCAGGGTGGCCATGAACCCCTCTCGCAGCCAGTCGCCACCAGTGACTTGGTAGTCCGCCGTGCCGGACAGCATGACGAAGGCGGGGCCGCCCGCCTCGTAGCTGTCGCTGCAGCGGAAGTACCTCTGAAACAACGTCAAGGCCGCCGTCAAGGCCGCCGTCAAGGCCGCCGTCAAGGCCGCCGTCAAGGCCGCCGTCAAGGCCGCCGTCAAGGCCGCCGTCTAGGCCGCCGTCAAGGCCGCCGTCAAGGCCGCCGTCAAGGCCGCCGTCAAGGCCGCCGTCAAGGCCGCCGTCAAGGCCGCCGTCAAGGCCGCCGTCAAGGCCGCCGTCAAGGCCGCCGTCAAGGCCGCCGTCAAGGCCGCCGTCAAGGCCGCCGTCAAGATGGCGTAGGAGCACTGCGGCGGACGCAAAGCCTTGCTCCCGAAACACCCACCTGCTGCCATGTGGCGCTGTCCTGGTCCTCGTGGGCCAGCGGCTGGGTCAGGACGGCCTCGGTGACGGCCTCGTTGGTGTGCTCGGGCACGCTGGTGATGAGCCGCGGCTGCGTATAGCGCAGCCACTGCACCCGCGACAGCTCCTCCCCCAGCTTGGCGCCACGCCCCGCCCCCGGCGCCGCCCCCACGCTGTCATTGGAACTGCAACAGGGAGGCCGCGGATGCCAGGAATGGAGGCTGCCCCGACTCCGGCGAAGCGCCAGCAAGCGCCAGCCCAGCGCGGCAGCCGCGGCAGCTTCAAAGGAGGAAGCTCTCTTCTGAAGGCCCGCGCGACGCCGGTGTGCCCCGGGTTGCCTATCGCCCGACGCGCAGGCGTTCCACTGCGTTCCGCAGCGCGAGGTATCGACATCACGCTATCATCTTGCTTATCTCGATTCAAGGTGGCCGTGCCGGCCGTGCCTGCCATGCCTGCCGTGCCTTGCCTCCTGCCGACTTGTTTTCCTCTGTACGCACCTCGCGTTCGCCGGCCGCCGCTGCTGCAGCACGTGGTGCAAGGCCCTGTCCAGTGCCTGCTGCTTGTCGACCGTCTTGAGGATGTTGGCGGAGGCCACCCCGGAGCACGTCGCCAGCCCCGCCAGCGCCACCAGCAGCGCCGCGCCGCGCATCTGCAGCGAGGGCACCATGAACCAAGGGCGTGGGGACTTTACTTTAGCGCGGCTTTGGGTCCGCCGCCGACAAGCTGACAAACACTGCTAGATAAGGTGTTACAGTGCAGAGGGAAAGCAACGCCACCAACCTTCGCTAGGCTGGCCGTCGTCGGAGAGAGAGAGACAAAGAGAGAGGCCGCACTTGCAGTGGTGCGGAGCCATGCGGAGCCTCCATCCGACTTACTGTGCGAGCGTTTCCGGCGGTCGTGGTGGGGGTCAGTGCCTTCGCCGGCGTGCTGTTGCTGTTGTCTTGCTCGAAGACGGTGTCCAGGAGCTCGCCAAACCGACTACGCCGGCCGCCCTGCCGTCCTGCGGGGCTGGCCGGGAACGCGGGACGCTCACTCCAATTGGCGAGATAAGATACGAGCGTCGTGCCGAACAGAAGGATGTGGCGCGGCACGCGCGGCACGCCGCGGCACGGCGGGGCACGGTGGCGGCGTGGCGTGTCCGTGACTCACAGTGTGAGTGTGCCGCTGGAGCCGAGCGCTGGAGCGCTAGAGCGGGGTAGGGGCAGCACGGCGACGGAGGCCCGCCAACGCCCACGCCGACGCCGTGCCCGCCGTGCATACTCCGCGCCACAGGGGCGCTACTCCCGCGGCGGCCGCGGCGCCCCAGCGCCATCTCGCGGCGCGCGGCGGAACCAGCGATGCGCGGCGTCGGCGCGCAGCGTCTTGGCGCGAAAGGGTTCAATTGGAGCGCGGGAAGAGCCTGCCTTCTTGATGCCCGCGTCAATGTTGTCATCGAGTCGACGGGAAAGCGAAGTCGACAGAGCGAGGTGTGGCGTGTGTTGTGTGGTGTTCGGCCGTTTCGGACTGGCGGTAAGCCCCCAGATCCTCGGGCGAGCTCGTCGCCGCCCGGAGCATCGTGCAGTGCGCGCATCGCGCAGCCCACCCACTCGGCCGCCGCGGCCGTCGCGCCCGATGCACCTGGTGCGGCACTACGGCGTGCTCGGCGTGCTGCACGGCCCGCAGGTGCGCGTGCTCGGCGGTGTTGGCGTTGTCATGACGACCCTCCCCGCGGCGTACACTGTGCCCAGGCCGCCCAGGCCGCCCAGGCACGCCGAGGACGTCATGCTGGCCGAGAGGGCTGCAGTGCCCTGACAGTGCCCTGACAGTGCCCTGAGCCACCGCGCGGCCGAGCGAGCTGAGACCGCCGTGACGACGACGGCAGCAAGATGATGTCCCGCAACCCGCCCCTGCCGCTGCTGCCCGGCAATGACTTCAACCGCAAGGTGCTTCACTCAGTTTTCGCGAATCCGTGCCACCTGCCAGTCGCTCTGTCTCGCTCGCACTCGTGGCGCGCCCCGAAGGGCCCGCACGGGTGCGAGCGAGAAAGAGCAACGGAAACACTCGTGATTCCAGATCGGCCAGACGCGCTTCCACAAGTCGCAGCACTTCGGCAATGTGCACAAGCTGTCCATGCTGCTGGACAAGGCGCTGCCCGGTATTGGCGGCGCCCCCATGCCCCACACGGTGCACTCACGGTGGCCGTCGGTGTACTGCCGCGGTGACGTGGCCACCCTGCCGTCGTGGCTCGCCTTCGACAAGGAGGTGGGAGGATAATGATCCATTCGGAAAGACTCGGTGTCTCCCTGAGGACGCCGTTCGGGGCCTGACACTCGTTTATGGCACTGCCTCAATTCTCGAAAATCTCAGTTTGAAAACAGTTTGACGGTTTCTTCGTCTCCAGACGCTGGTGTTTGACGCGTACTTCAAGGAAGCCCTGCGAGAAGTGGAAGGAAGTCCCTTTCTGCCTCGCTACGTCAAGATCTACTTCTACCTGGAGGACGGGACCATCCAAGTGCAGGAGCCCAGGAGGGTCAACTCTGGCATTCATCAAGGTACGGTGTCGGACACGGTCAGTCGCACAGTGGCCCGGTCGGTGGAGGCGGCCAAAACCCTGGGCGCGTTTTGAGCTCCACAGTCGCTAATTAGGAGTTGAACCGAGCGTGTGACTCCACCAATCGGTTCCTCTTTCGGAGAGCAACTCATTGGTTAGGTCGAATCTCGGAAATTTGCTGATTTTGGGTGGCCACTGTGTCCAATCTAGTCGCGCGTAAAAGTCCTCCCTCGACGTCCTAGTATTCTTAAGGCCCTACTCTTTCATGCCCTGTATCGGGAAGACGTTGACCACAACGATTTTGGCTTTGACCGCAACGATTTTCCGACTAAGTTGGTCAAAAAGTGGTCAAATCTTGGAAATTTGTTGATTTTGCTGACTTTGGGTGGCCACTGTGTCCAATCTAGTCACCGTAAAAGGCCTCCCTCGACGTCCAAGTATTCTTAAGACCCTACTCTTTCATGCCCTATATCGGGAAGACGTTGACCACAACGATTTTGGCTTTGACCGCAACGATTTTCCGACCAAGTTGGTCAAAAAGTGGTCAAATCGCGGAAATTTGCTGATTTTGCTGACTTTGGGCGGCCACTGTGTCCTATGTAGTTGCCGTAAAAGGCTTCCCTCGACGTCATAGTAATCTTAAGACCCTACTCTTTCATGCCCTGTATCGGGAAGACGTTGACCACAACGATTTTGGCTTTGACCGCAACGATTTTCCGACCAAGTTGGGTTGTTCCGCAGGGGTGTTCATCTCGCGGCAGCGCATCCGGTTCCCGCCGGACTCGCGCTCGGAGAGCTTCATCGACATCATCGACTTGAACATCGGCCACGAGGTGGAGCTGTACGGGCGCGTCTTCAAGATCGTCAACTGCGACCGCTTCACGCGCAACTTCCTGAACCGGCTCGGCATCACCGTGCCGGACCCCATCGTCATGCCCGAGGACCCGTACATGGAGCGCCGGGCCAAGGTAACGCGGGTTCAAATCCCGCGCTTCTATTTTATTTTTTTGCTATTTTTGAATTTAAATTACCGCGTTGTTTTCCGAGTAGATGCAAGAGGCCCTGCAGCCCAAGAAGCCCAAGAAGGTGAGCTTCGACGAGACGCAGTTCCTGCGGTTCGACCGCTGCGTGCTGCGCTTCTACGGCTACTGGGACGACCGCGAGTCCGAGGACGGCATCCTGCACAAGCTGGTCGTGCTCTTCTACCTGGCCGACGACACGGTGGAGGTCAAGGAGGTCCTCCCCGTCAACTCGGGCCGCACCGGCAGCACCCTGCTGGCGCGGTGCAAGCTGCCCAAGGTTGGAGTCCACCTGGAAGTTTAGGAAAGAAGACTGGTGCTATTGTGATTCTGCAGACTGATTATGCTTTGGACGTGACAGGAGTTCACCAAGGTGGCGACGCCGGGCGAGTACGACGCCTTCACCGTACTCAACGTGCTGGGCCAGAGCGCGCACAACCGGCGCTTCATCGTGGACGCGCTCAACTGCGGCGCCAGGCCCACCAACTTCTACACGCAGCAGGACCTGGCCATCGGCGCCGTCATCAACGTCCTGGGCCGCTGCGTCGTGCTGTGCGACTGCGACGACTTCACCAAGGAGCACTACCGCAAAAACTTCGGCCTGGGTCAGCTCCTCGCGAGGGCGGATCCAGGGGCGGATCCAGAGACGGGTTCAAGGGAGGGATGTCGGAAAAGTTGCCTATCTGCAGGGGGCGAAGTGCGAAATGTTGCCTACCTTTGAGGAGGCGTCGCCGCCTTCTGGTGGAACGACACCCCCCCCCCCCTGGATCCGCGCCTAGCTCCTCGATCCTGTCTCGGAGGATTCGTTTTGTCACTCTGTCTCTCTCGCACACGGCCCGCATTACACGCGAGTGCGACAGAGACAGAGCGATGCGACTCTTCAGAATCAGACTGCAGTAGATACGAAGGTCTGATTTGAAGTGACTGCTTTTGCAGAGGACTTCTCCAAGGTGCCCTACCCCCCGGACCAGGACGCGGTGTACGAAGCGCAGGACCGCCCCCCACTGCCGCCCTACAACGGCTACGGCTCGTACGAGGACTCGTCCTACAACTGCAAGACCATCTACCCCGTGGCGCCCGTCAAAGACCTCAAGCAGTTCCTCCGCAAGGACAAGTAAGTGGCATCGTCGCTCTGTCTCTCTCGCACCCTCGCGGACCTCCCCATGAGTGCGAGAGAGACAGAGCGATGAAAGCACTGTTTGCAATCAGTCTGCAGACTGATTCCGAGAGTCGCTTTCGTCGCTCTGCGTCTCTCTTGCTCCTATAAGGAACGCCCCATGAGTGCGAGAGACACAGAGCGACGAAAACGACTCTCGGAATCAGTCTGCAGGACCTGCCGGGACCTTCGGGTGGAGGCTGACCAGGCGGCGGTTGCAGGGAGGGCATGGATAGCCGCGTCCTCCGCTTCACGGCGCAGATGATCTCCAACATCCCGCACTTCACCAAGAGGCCCTTCATCTTGAGCTACTTCCTGGCGGACGACACGCTCAACGTCTTCGAGAATGTCCACGTCAACTCGGGTGAGGACGATGATGAATCACCGTGAACGCTTCAGGCCAAGCGAAGCAGACACTCGAAGAGAGACGGAAAAGTGGCCTTGAGCTCTACCAGTGTAGCGACATGCCCACAGGCTTCCAGGGCGGCATGTTCTTCGGGAGGGACCGGTTCGTGAAGCCGGGCGAGAACCTCTTCGGCAGCGACCCTCCGGCGTGCTACACCAAGGAGGACTGCTACATCGGGGCGATGCTGGAGCTGCGCGACTTCAAGTTCCTGCTGACGGCGGCCGACGAGTACGCCCTGCGCTACATGGAGCTGCACTGCAGTGAGGTAGGCCGCCGCACAGTGGGCCAGAAGACCGGCGCAGGCGGCCAAAACTCTAGACGCGTTTTTAGTATAAATGCATAAGTGCATAAATGCATAAGTGCATAAATGCATAAGTGCATGCTCGCTGCCCGCAGTTCCCCAAGAGCAACATCCGCCAGATCCTGCAGAAGGTCCGCGAGCGCGCGCGCCCCGTGTACAAGCAGTTCGTGGCGGAGCAGCTGGGCGGCGACGCGCTGCGGACGGGGAGGGTCAGCTTCAAGACGCTGCGCAAGGCCCTCTTCGGCCTGCTGGGCGACCAGGTACGAAAGTCTTCAAGCGTAGTTGTCGTGAAGCATAACTACGCTCCTACCAGTGCACCGCGTTCATCGCGCTGTTTTCGTGCCGCAGATCACGGAGCACGAGGTGGTGACGGTGGCGCGCCGCTTCCGCGTGCAGCCCGACGAGCCCGTGGACTGCGAGGCGATCCGAAGGCTGACGCACGTCGAGCTGAAGCGCTATTTGTACCACGGCCTGGAGCGCCTGCTGGAGACGTTCAAGCACCTGGACGCGGCGCACACGGGCCAGCTCACGCGCAAGCAGGTGTACACGTGCCTGCGCGGCGCGCGCCTGCCCATCGACGTGGAGCTCACCAACAAGGTGCTGGAGTGGTAAGGACGCGTTTTGAGCTCCAGAGTCGCTACACAGGACTCGAACCGAACGTGTGACCCCACCAACGTATTCCTCATTCGGAGAGCAATCCATTGGTGGGGGTCACACGTTCTGTTCGAGTCCCATTTAGAAACTCTGGAGCTCAAAACTCGTCTAGAGTTTTGGCCGCCTGCATCGGTATTCTGGCCCACTGTGTGACGTCAAACCGAGTGTGTCCTTTTTTCGCCTATTTCAGCATGCCGCTACAGGACGGGGGCATGATCTTCTACCAAGACGTCGTCAACTTCCTGGACTACGAGCACTTCCCCACGGCGCCGGCCGAGCCGGCGAGCGTCCGGGTACGTCAGGCCCGTCCGTCAGGGGGGTCGTTATCTCTCGTTCCGATCGTTGTTTTTCGCCCGCGCACTTCTCCGCGCTCTCCTCGCGAGGTCGGGGGGCAATTAAGATAAACAAATAAATGTGTTTGTCACACGCGGACCGCGATATTTCAAGGACAGAAAAAGCACAGTGCCGTAACAAAATCAAAACTTCCTTTTATTTATCACATTCTTTTTGGTTGCGAAACGACGCTGCGGTTCATTGTTTCGCGACGCGCTTGGTTGCAGCACGACTTGAGCTGGATGTCGCACGCCCCCACCGTGGACGTGAGCGAGGTGGCCGTCGACGCGCTGCTCCGGGAGCTGGGCCTCGAGGAGGACCTGCGCGCGAGCTGCGGCGACGCGGGCCAGGACAAGCCGGGCGGCACGGGGACCATCGTGCCCGCCAACGCGCCGGGCATGTTGGGGGCGGCGGTCACGGCGGGGCCGGCCGAAGCCCCTCTGGGGGCGGAGACGTGCGAACTGGTTCTTCGGCGACCCGGCATCTTGTGCAAGACCTCGCCTTGCGGAGACTAGCGCCTCCGGCCCCACATGCTCATTTCGCTTCGTCCAATAATAGTTTTAAAATCAGCCGGTGACTTACATTTCGTTCAAACTGAACCCTCACAAACACAGCGAAGCTTTGCTGTCATCGCGCGCCCAGGGCGATGACCTTGCCGGGGGCCTCCGGGTTGGTGCTGGTGCGACCCAGCTGGCGGAAGGCGCCCTTGAAGAGCTCCCAAGTCGTGGTGAAGCGGTACTCCACGCCGAACTCGGCCAGCGTCTCGCGCAGCACGGGGTACAGGGCGGGCAGGCGGCAGTGGTCCACGGTGGGGAACAGGTGGTGCAGGGCGTGGTCGCCGTACTGCGTCAGCACCAGGTACGGGGAGCCGCCGTGGTCCGCGCGGTCGCGCACCGCGTCCAGCTGCCCCAGCCCCCAGTCGCGGTCCTCGCTGGAAAGGAAAGACAACTCCGTTCACGTTTCCGCGCCAAACGCCGCCAAGGACCAGCCAGGACCTACCGCGCGGCGTCGCCGTCGTGGAAGATGTCGGGGTGGTGGTGCGCAGCGGTGAGCCCGATGGAGTGGAAGATGAGGCTGTGCACCACGCAGATGTACAGCCACATGAACAGCGACTGGAACAGCGGGGCGCCCGCCACCAACATGGTGAGCAGGTACAGCGCCGGCAGGTAGTCCTCAGCACGCATCCTCCTCACACTGGGAAAGGAAAACTGGTGAGGACTGCGGACAGGGATCGCGCAGGCGAGACGAAGCTTCGACCTGAACGCACCGATTCAGCATGCCCATGGGCAGGGCGATGCAGGCGTAGAAGAAGAAGGCCACGAAGGAGGCGACGCGGAACACCAGGGGCTTCTCCGCCGTCGGCAAGAACTGCAGCAGGGGCTCGTGCATGGTGATCTCGATGTCCATCAGCGTGTTGGGGTACAGGTGGTGCGACAGGATGTGGCTCACCCGCCACTCGCTGGGGGGAGAAGTTGGAAGTGGAAAAATGTGTCGGGTGGTCATGGCCCCTTACGGTGTAGGCTAGGCAGTCCCGCCACACAGGTGTGGTCGACGGGGCGCCAAGGCCCCTTCCGGCCGAGGCCAGTTCAGTTCGCACGCCGAGCCCTGACTTACGACAGTGACATGAAGCCGAGGCTCTTGTAGTACATCCTCCAGTTGTCCCTGCGGTGCGTGAAGTTGTGCGCGCACACGGTGGCGAAGGAGATGATGAGCGCGGCGAGGGTGGCGAGCGCGAAGCAGCCGCAGCGCGCGGCCGCGGCCACGGCCAGGAAGGAGGCGGCGACGAGGGCGTCGTTGAAGCGCGGCGCGAAGCCCGGGTCGGGCGTGGCGGCCAGCACGGGCACGGCGCGCCGCTTGAGGGTGCGGTAGAAGCCGTTATCGTGGAACGTGTACGGCGAGTTGCGGCGCTCCGCCGCGTCCCGCACCTCGTACTTGGCCAGGACGCGGGCCGCGTGCTCCACCACGATGTGGTGGCTCTCGAAGGCCTCGGTCACGTCCATGCCCTTGGTGCGGCGCAGCCAGTGGGCGCCGCCCGGGTGCTTGTCCACGAACTTGGTCAGGTCGTACAGCTTGTCGTGCACCCGCCACAGGCCCTCCGCGCCGTCGTCCACGCGCCTGCTGTCCAAGTAGCCCTCCCCCGTGACGGCGCCCTCGGCCTGCCGGTGGCTGGGGTACTTCCACAGCCCCGGCAGCGTGGACGGCGGGGTGGGCGTGGGCCTGAGGACCGCCTGGACTTCTCGTGGCGCCATGGCTGGGAGTGTGGCTGAAGAACACCGAACACACCGAGCTCGCGGACAACACTGAGCTTGAGCCAAGGCGTTAATGTCAACTGTGGACCGATTCGTAGAGTCGTTTTCGTCCTTCTGTCTCTCTGGCACCTTAGTGGGACGCCTCATGAGTAAGAGAGGGACAGAGCGACGAAAACGACTCTCTGAATCAGTCTGCAGCTGATAGCGACGCCTCGATGCCCAGTCGGCTTGGTGACCCTGAGTGACCCGCAGGCTCGGACTGGCCAGGGCAGACAGGCAGAAAAATCTGCCGGGGCCTTTGGATTTGTGACCAGTAACGTCACGAGGATGGTCAAAAAGTGATTGAATCTCCGAAAGTAGCCGTTTTCACTGAATTTGAGCGGCCACTGCTTCGATCTAGTAGCGGCCAACGGCCTCCCTCGACGTCCTAGTATTCTTAAGACCCTACTCTTTCATGCCCTGTATCGGGAAGACGTTGACCACAACGATTTTGCCTTTGACCGCAACGATTTAGGGACCAAAGTTGGTCAAAAAGTGGTCGAATCTCGGAAATTTGCTGATTTTGCTGACTTTGGGCGGCCACTGTGTCCAATCTAGTTGCCGTAAAAGGCCTCCCTCAACGTCCTAGTATTCTCAAGACCCTACTCTTTCATGCCCTGTATAGGGAAGACGTTGACCACAACGATTTTGCCTTTGACCGCAACGATTTTGGGACCAAGTTGGTCAAAAAGTGGTCGAATCTCGGAAATTTGCTGATTTTGCTGACTTGGACGGCCACTGTGCCAATCTAGTTGCCGTAAAAGGCCTCCCTCAACGTCCTAGTTTCTCAAGACCCTACTCTTTCATGCCCTGTATAGGGAAGACGTGGGACCACAACGATTTTGCCTTTGACCGCAATGATTTTCCGACCAATTTGGTCAAAAAGTAGCGAATATCGGAAATTTGCTGATTTTGCTGACTTTGGTGTCCACTGTGCCCAATCTAGTTGCCGTAAAAGGCCTCCCTCGACGCCCTAGAATTCTTAAGACCCTAGTCTTTCATGTCCTGTACGGGAAGGCTTTTGACCGCAATTGTGTGGGAGCGGCAGCCTCACAAAGTTGGTCATGAAGGGTAAAAACAATGATGATCGGGGGCCTTTTGCGGTCTTATCTGCCGGGGCCTTTTGGGGGCCAGTCCGAGCCTGGTGACCCGCGTTATTGTTTTGCCTCTTGGTCGCGGGAGAAGAGGAAGAGGAAGAGAAAGGAGGCAGCGGACCTTGTTGCCTTTTGCTTTTTGGTTCGGCTCATTGCCGGTGTTTGAAAGTGCCGCCACCAGCCACCAGCACCGCGACGCGTGACATCCGGTTACCGCTCAGCGCGAAACGCCGCGAAGTTTGTAGAAACGCCACGGGGGGCGCTAGTGGCGTGGAGACGACAACGTTCAGCGCCGCCACACGGGACCCCAACGAACTACTGTAATGGCGGGAGATTTTGAACTTGCCACATATCAAAAAAGGTTTAGGAAGTGGGTTTTGATCCTGTGATAATAAGGGCGAGCAAGTAGCCATTCTTGGAGGCGTAGTGGATAATGGAGAACGGCTCTGACAAGGAATGGGAAGAGTTATCAAACATGACAAATGGATTGTTTAAAAAAAATTTATAATCTAAGTAAAAACCAAAATCATATGCAACTTCATAATTATAAACTTTGTGGTTTAAAAATAATTAACTCAAAATAATAAAAGTAGACTGTTAACAAAGATATACTATTGTATAGATTATTAATGCCAATGATACAACAGTATTTGTGATGTAATAATACTAAGTGAATGGATATGAGACCGCTGCAATGAACATGCCTCAACAGCTAGGCCCAGTTCTGTTTCAAAAGCCAAGTCTATAGTACAATTTTACATTGGACACAAGAGCTTTGATTCTGAAAAAATCACAGAAAATTGGAATTAGCAGGCGCAGTGAGGTTTAAAGTTGAAATTGCACCTTGGATTTTTAAGTCATTTTCAAAATTTCAGTTTTATGCTTTTCCCTCATATTGAGCGAGTGTGTCTGTCACTTTTTCTATTACACTGTAGATATATGGCCGTTCCATGGGATTTACACGAAGCATGAAGAGGATGAGATCATGTATGTCCTGCAAAGAAGGAGAAACAGTAAGCATCAATTTTGAAAACTGCATAGACTAAAATGCACAATGTAAAAGAAGGGATAGATGCAAACCTCAGAGAAAGGTGTGTTTTCAGGGAAATGTACGGTTCCACTAATAACAGCCAATGCTACACTGTCACCTCGTTCATAGACTGCATCAAATGGTGATTTGAAGTAGCACATTGCGTAAAGCAAACATCCCAATGACTGAGGAAAGAAATAGATTTATGAGTCTATGTACAAGATGAGGTCAGAAAATTCTTATGCAGAGTCTGAAAATTGCTAAGGCTTACCCATATATCTGTTCTTTCGTCAATTATACAATATGATTCAACATTCCATAGTTCAGGGGCCCGATAGGGCATGGAACAACGTTCTGCTGCTAGGTCTTGAAGCTTCTGAGCATCTGAAGTACCTGTTATTTTAACCCTTGCACGAGCTACTGATCCTGTTCAAAAACAAAACATCAAAACCAGTTGTTACATACATTTACAAACAAGTTTGCACAAGTTTTTCTCTTTTGTTTTATTGAGGAGGGCTCACCTAAATCCATAATAATTGGATTGTTGTAATTATCCAATAAGATATTCGCAGTTTTTAAATCTCTGTGAGCCAGAGGTTCTGGTTTGGCCTCATGAAATGCCTTAATACCTTCACAGATTTGTAAGAACATGCACAAAATTTCAGGGGGTTCCATGTGCCTTTGATTTGCTGCCCGTCTTTCCAATTCGTGCAACAAGGTGCCACGCTAAAAATGAAGTCTGTTAATATTCTTTTCTATGATACTGTGAGATCTATTCAAGACAATGAAAACTTACAGGAAAATATGGAAGTACCAATAAGACCATGCTGGTTGAATTTAATACAGGATCAGCATGGCCAGTCAGAGATGAATCCAAGCATTTTAATACATTCTTGTGCTGAAGAACTTCATGATATTCTGCTTCACGAAGTGCAACTCTTTCGTCATCCATACCATGGCAGATAATTTTTTTAATAGCTACAAGTTTTTTTGAACCAGCTTCTTCTCCCAAGTAAACAGTACTAAAACCACTGAAACAGGAAATTTTGGTAAATAATGCTGTCTGTTGACAAACTAAGGTTAAGTGACCCTCTACCAAACTTACCCCTCCCCTAACTGTTCACGCAGGAAATACTTCTTAGAGTTTACGGTGACAGAATCTTTGGAACAAAGACACCCCATTTTGAAAATTATGTTCAAGCCAAGGCTGTTCATGACTTAAAATGTTGTCTTTGGCCTTTAAACAAACATGACAGATGGATCTAGCTGCACAGAACGTTGTCGTGCGTGTCGTCTGCCACGACTGGATCTAATGATTTCTGGACTATTCGCAGAACACTAAACATGGCCATCCTCCAGAGGCTCCTGAAATCAGCTTTATGTTGTGAAAGTAAGTAATTCTTATATTCCTGTGTTGTCTCTCTGCGGCTGGTTCGCAGTTTTTCTTATTCAGGCTTTCAGGACAACAGATTAGCATTGCTGCCTTGTTAACTTTAACATTACGAGGCTTTTGCAAGTAGTGTAGTTTCCATAACCTCTTCATTGTGACCTGCTATGTAACTTCAGATATTTTTAATGCATTTTATAATGCTGTACATTTTTATTTTGTACGTGTGCCACATAGAGTTTGTGTCTTTCTTTTTTCAGAAACACTCCTGGTTCCAACTTCAAGATGCATGTCAGGCCTACAGAGTCGTCTCAGTTTATCAACCAACTCAAACTCCATCCAGAGTAATGGAGAATGGAATGGAAATGCTTCCACAAATATTATTATGAATTTATCCTCCAGTTCTTCTGACCCAAAGAAATTATCTTTTAATTCATTGCTTCAGCGAATAGATGTTGCAATCCTGCCAATGTCTCCTGTGGAACGCCTGATCAAACTTCAACTCCCAACTATTTCAAAGCATGTTAGTCTTGAAATGCCAACAACCAAAGCTTCTTTGACCAATGTCCATATCAACCAAAAGGTAATTGAATACCAAGCACCTCAACGAGGAAAGGTTATAAAACAGTTAGCAGTTCATATGCTTAATGTAAGGCGTCGTAAAATGAAAAAGCATCAAAGAAAGAAGTGGTTGAAAAAATTCCGTATTCTACGCATGACTGTGTCTAAAAAGAGAAGGATGGCAAGAGAGACAATATTCCTCTCTGGGCTGGAGGAGGAGATGAAATTGGCTGAATCTTTCAATGCTGAGCAGTATGCCGCTGAAAAAATCAAACTAGCCTACAGACCCTTACCACAAAAGGAGGAATGGGTGAGGCCGCTGCCTTGGGAATTTCAACCTTTGTACTTTAACTCTGATGCTTACAAAAAAAGTAAAAAGTAAATCCTGATTGTTCCTGAAATTGGATCAACTTATTATGTCCTTTCATAGGGCGCAATGGTTTGTTGAATATGAATGTTTCAGTGTGTTGTTTGATGTGCTAAACAATTGAAAATGTACCATTAAGTGTGATTTGTTCACTGTAAATGTCTTGTGAAAATATAATAACTATCTACCTTACTTTATGTTTTATTGGACAAACCCAGGTCCCCCCCCCCCCCCCACCCCACCCACCCCCCCTAAAGCTTAGTGCCACTGCTACATCTAAGGATGGAAAAAAGGGAGGGTGTTGAATCAGACAATGGGTGAAATTTATAGTCTTATATTTCAAACAAAGCTGGAAGGCCTTGCTAAATAGCATCACCATTGGTCTCTCAATTTAAAACTAATATAAACAAGTGCATCTTGTGAACAAAAATTAAAATATTGACTTAAAAGCACTTAAACATACCACTCAAATTGTTGAAACTATGTAAACTATGAAAATATTGCTTGTATGCAGTTTAGTACTGGCACAATCACAGGTAGACATTTTATCACTTTTAACTAACCTATAGTAATGCTGTAATTCAAGGGAAGATAATGTCAGCACACTCATCACGAATTATCCTAAATTTCTTGTTACATAATTAGTATGTACATTTTTTGGTATGGTAGCAAACTGATTTCACGTTTGAATGAGGGAAGATGAATACTGTCTATTTGTCACTAATACCACAAATAAATTACATGTCAGGTCTCAGTCATAAAAGGTCAAAGCAAGTCTCAAAGCTAAAGAAATGTTATGAATAAGTTTTACTCATTGAATATTATTATGACCTGCTAATAACTTTTTAACCAAAAAGTAGTACGGCACAATCAAGGTCTGAACGCTTCCACGTTCCGGTAAATAGCAAGCGATTGCTTTCTGGAACAACTGGAATAAACTGTATACCAGCCGAGCGCCCGCGAAAGAACGGGTAGGCCAACCCGCCGAACACGCATGTACTTATGCGGCAGTGTTGCCTACGCCTTATTACCATTACCATTGGAGGCTAGACAGACCACACACTCCAGGATCGGAACATCCTATAAAGTCGTCTGCAGGCACTGAACTTCAGGAGTCATCTAGGCCCAAGGCTAAATTAAAACACCCATCTCCCAATGACAAAGTATCACAAAGAGGATCAACTATTTTTATACAATAAACAATAATTACGTTGAAATGAGATCAGAATTTTAAGTAGCTACTCGAAGTCGAACTACGTGAGTCGATTAAGTTACATATTCCTGCACATGATCTATCAGTATAGAGAAATAAATAATGTAAGAAGGATGTGAGGTTGAATGACTAGCCAGCGCCGTCACGTGGTGCACCACGTCAGGGGAGGGCCTGGCCCTTGGGGGCGATGAGGATGTGCTGGTGTGCCCCCCTGCCCGGCGCCACCTCCTCCATCTTGTTCTTCTTGGGCTTGAGAGTCTCTGTCCTGCCGGAGAAGTAGTCTTCGATCTCCTGCAGAGAGCGGCCCTTGGTCTCCGGGAGGAGCGCCCAGAAGAACGCGGTCCCCGCGATGGACACGACGCCGTAGAACAGGAAGGTGCCCGAGTGCCCCATCAGCTTCTGCATCAGCGGGAAGCTCTTGACGACCAGGAAGACGAACATGTGCGCCGCGCACGTGGTGAGGCCGCCGACCAGGCCGCGCACGTTGGAGGGGTACACCTCGCCGATCATGACCCAGGGCACGATGAGGAAGCCCGTGGTGCAGAAGGCCGTGTAGGCGAAGATGCAGGCCACGGGGATCCACGTGGCCGTGCGGGTGGCTCCCTCCGCCGTCCAGAACTCCCACGCCATCATGTAGCTCCCCAGGCCCAGCATGCTCAGCCCGCAGCCGATGGAGGAAGTGAGTGTGAGGGGGCGGCGGCCGCACCGCCTCAAGGCCACGCACCCCGCCACGGTGAACATGAGCCTGACCACGCCCATCAGGATGGTGGCCAGGTACTGGTCGATGGAGGCGCCCGACTCCTTGAACACCTTAACGGCGTAGAACGTGATGGGGTTCACGCCGGAGAACTGGTAGATGCCGAAGTACGCCACGAGGATGAGGAACGGCTTCATGGCGGACGGCTTCACCAGCTCTCTGAACGTGTCTCGCCAGCCCAGCTTGACCTGCAGCGCAGAGAAAGAGAGATGGTGGTCAGGCTGCGCTCCCGCCCGCTGTACCACACAACCTCGCGGCCAAGGCGAAGACACTCACCACGTTGTTGCGCTCGGCGAAGTCCCTCATCGCGTCCAGCTCCTGCTGCACGTCGCAGACCTCGCCGCGCACCCTGAGCAGAGCGGCCCTGGCCTCCTGGTGGCGGCCGCGGCTCACCAGCCAGGCGGGGGACTCGGGGGTGAGCAGGGTGAGCAGCAGCGCGAGCGAGGGCACGGCCGCGGAGAGGCCCGCCAGCACTCGCCAGGTGACGCACGAGCCCACCGCGTACTCGAGCAGCACGCCCAGGGACACGCCCACCTGGGCGCAGAGAAAAACAAGAAAACGTTGAGCCGCCGCCGGGACGCGAACCCGCGGAACGGGCCAAGTGCCGAATCGCGGACTCACCGACGCGAACGCTGACAGTGTGCCCCGCAGGTGCGGCTGGGTCACCTCGCCGGTGTACACCCTGGCGGGGGCGCCCACCATGCCGGAGCCCAGGCCGACGAGGAGACGGCCGGCGTAGATGAAGTAGAGGCCGTGGTTGGCGGGCGCGAGCGCGATCAGCATCCAGCCCAGCGCCAAGGGCACCTCCGTCAGCAGCAGCGCGCGCCGCCGCCCGATGGCGTCCATGAGCCAGCCCGTGAGGATGCAGCCCACCGGGGTGGACGCGGAGGACAAGCTAGCTGCGAGGATGAGAGAGCAGTGAATCAGTCGCGCCACTTTGACTTTGGCGCCTCAGACGCGCGCTAGCACGCGACCTGCCTTACCTATCCACGACGCCTGGTCCTCGTCGACCTGGATGTCCGAGTCGGCGCGCACGAGCTGCGGGATGACGACGGCCGAGAAGCCGAAGGCCATGCCCGTGTTGATGGTGCCCAGGTTGGCGATGATGGACATGAGCACCTGGCGCAGCGCGCTGCCGCGGCGCGGCCGCACCACCGTCTCGGGCAGCAAGTGCGCCGAGCCGAGGTTCTCGGCCCTGGAGCCGCTCCGGGCCGTCTTGATGGCGTCCATGGGGGCGTGGCCGTCGAGGCCGCCGAGGCCGCCGCCCACCAGGCTCTTGAGGGACTCCACGTCCACCGGGGTGCCGTTGATGCTGCAAGCAGGAGCGTGGTCAGTACAGTGGCGGCACGGGCAGCAGGGCGGGGCCCGACGGACCCGACCCCGACTCCTCGACTCCCTGGCGGGCCGGCCGGCGGCGGAGTCGCCACGCGGGGGGAGGGTGGCCGCGGCCGGCTAGCGCCCGGCGCGCTCGGGTTAGGCCGCCCGACCGACGTGGGTGTGTGGCGGGCCAGGCGCCCATTCCCATTCCCATTAGAGGCTAGGCCACGCATTATCGTTCGCTATTTCGGGCCCCACTGCAAAACGGGACATGGCCATCCTTACTGGGGAGACACGCCGTCCGTAACGAGGTAAACAGTCCGGCAGACACGCCCCACGCCCCCGGCACCGAGCCCGGCACGGCCACGCCACCGCGAAAACTCACGGAAAGTCGGCGAGCGAGGAATGCCGCCCGACGGCCAGCACTACGAACACTAAACACTTGACGCTGTTGTTTTCGTCTCCCCGAACCGAAGGCACAAGGACCCGATTATGGGGACACCGATCCCTGCTCTGTATCTCGAGACGGCCTTGGCGGCCGAAAGCCTCGAAAAGAACAACAGGCCACAGGCCGAAATGCGCGACACTGCGTCAACAAGAACAAGACACGCTACTCGCCAGAGGGTCGAGTCACGCGGAGGCCCGCCACGCGCTCGCTTCGTGATCTGGTCGGCTCGCACGCTCCAGGAGGAAGCGAAGCGGCCGCACGGCGCACGCGGGACGATGGCAGTGCCGGCTGGCTCCGAGAGACGTCTTCGTCGCTCTGTCTCTCTCGCACCTATACGGGACGCCCCATGAGTGCGAGAGAGACAGAGCGACGACTCTCGGAATCAGTCTGCTGGAGAGCCTGGCTCGACTGACACCCTCTAGCTCGCGCGGCCCGCGCGCTCGCCGGGCGCCCACCCTGGACACCCTGGACGCGGCGTGTGCCCTGTGCGCCCTTCCTAGTCCCCAGCGTCGTCCTCGTTAACGCGGCGCCCCGGCGGTCCTGGCGTCCTGGCGGCGCAGCCCTAACCTTGCGCAAGGCGCCGTGTGCGCCGCTCCGCGGCTCCGCGGCAATGTCCCGGTGGCCGTTGCATCGATTCGCGCGCGGCGCACTGTACACTGTAAGGGGAGGGGCGCCGCCCGACGCCGACGTGCTCCTCGTTATTTGCTTCGAGACGTGCGACGTGCGGTTTTCAACTCGTCGCGCTTTAAATCTTTAAATCCCGCGCCGCGCGACTTGTTTACAGCGGCAGGCCTTGACCAAACCGCGGCGAGAGGCGAGACACGTTGGCTCACACGACGCGCGTATATAAACACGGCGTGCAGCGACACAGTGGCGGCGGCCCGTCGGCCCGGCGTGCATTCCCTGCGACGGCCACGCCACGCCACGCCAAGCCACGCGGCGGCGCCTCCACAGCTGATTCGGGACGACGACGACGCCCTTCTGAATTGCCACGGCTATTTCGGGCGCCGCGACGCTCTGCCGAGCCATTCTGAAGGATAGTTTCGTCGCTCTGTCTCTCTCGCACCACCGCAGGACGCCACATGAGAGCGACAGAGACAGCGACGAAACGACCGTGCAGCTCGGCCGCGACGCGCTGCGTGGCCCCGCGGGCCGGCGTGATCGCCATGTATATCAGTCCGGTGCACCCGCCGCCGCACAACGTTTGCGTCGCTCTCTCTCGCACTCATGGGGCTTCCCCGAGAGGTGCGAGAGAGACAGTGCGAGGAAAACGACTCTCGAAGGAGGCGAGTCAAGACGCTCATTCGGCTCTCCATGCCTTCAACGGGACCCCAATCAAACTCATAAGAGTGTCATTGGATTCCTCGTTGGAAGGGCAATGCGTCGGCACCCGCATGAGTTTCATTCGAGCCCTACTTAAGGGCGAGGGCGAGGGCGAGGGGTTCCGCTTCTCCAGGCCTACTGTGCGCCACGGCGGCCACGGCGGCCACGGCGGCCACGGCGGCCACGGCGGCACGCGGCCACGGCGGCCACGGCGGCCACGGCCCGCGGAAGAGCGACGGGTCCGAAAGGGCCTCCTTGTTTTCGTCGCAGCCGGCGTAAGACGATCGCGGCTAAGACGCTCGAGAAATGCGCCGCAATGCATGGCGTGTTCGATTAGATAAATAGTGGCGGTCTGCGGAGCCCTGCGGGGCGGACCGCGCGCACGGCAATCTGTTTACGAAAGCCGGGCATCGCTACGCAAATTCTTTTTTACGGGTGTCATTATTTCGGCCGCGGGAAAACACGGCGGCGCGGCGACGAAAGGCGAAAGGTGGGAGCGTTTCTTTTTGTGAGCACGTTTTTGCCGTGCGCCTCCCTGCAGGCCGCTCGGCAGGCCGATTCCGAAGAGTCGTCTCTCCCCGTCTCTCTCGCGCTTACCGGGCCGTCGCGTAGGAGCGTGAGAGAGACTTTTAAGAGTCGCTCGCGCTGCCGGTGACGCGGTGACTGCACCGATGCGACGCCCCGCGTCCCGTGTCCCCGTGCCACTGCATCGTCTGAGGGAGTCGCACGCCGCGCGTGGTGTGCCGACGGCACCGCGCCCCGCGTCGGCCGCGTCGCGACGCACGGTGGAGGCGGAGCGGGGAGGGGGGGGGGGGGATTTCCAATCAAGCGAACTGCGGCCCCGTGATGCGTATGCATGGATGGAGACGCGCCTTCCGTCGAGACAGGCGCCACAGATTCGGAACTTCGGGGGCAACGCGCTCGCGGCAAGAGCGCAGACCTCTCTGTCTCGGCAGGCCGCGGCAGGCTCGGCTGCGACGACCAGGAAAAGCGGTTTGAAAGCCTCCGGTCTTGCGCCACCCCGCGCAAGGCGGCATGGGTCGACGTTGGGGTCCGCACCCCCACCCTGGTCCTGCCTTGCCTCGCTCCGGGCGGAGAATACCCAGGCCTTGTATTGCATCACTCCGGCAGGGCGGGGATGGGGCGGCCGGGGGCGGCCGGGGGTGAGACGGCAGAAGGCCGGCTAGGCGCCACAATTTCCTGGTGGCGGTGCACGGCGCCCGCGCGGGGTTCACTCCCCGGCGGGCGGGCCGGACAGGCGAGGTGAACGACAGCCAAGTGGTGCACCTACTTCTTCATGATGGTGCTGCAGGTGGTGCTGGCTGCAGCCGGCGACTCGTGCCTTGGACCAGACCCGAGCAGCGAAGCAGCGAAGCGGCGAGTCAAGCAACGGATTGGCCGATTTGCAAGTCGTCTCGGAGTCTTGGCCGGCTTGGCGGGGCAGCGGGGCGGCGCGTGGTCCGGGCCGGGGCAGGCTACCTGTTGATGGTCCTCTCGCGCGGAGGGATGCCGGGGTGCTCTCTGACTATGCGAAGCGGCCGGCGCGGGCTGCGGACGAGGACTGCGCTTCCCATGGGAGTGTGCAACCCCTGAACCCTAAATGGACGGGACGGGCCTCCGGACGAAGCGGCAGAGCGGCAGGGCACTGCAAGACCAGCAGCACGAGGGAAGCGCCTCGGGCACAACGCGCACTGAGCCAAGCCTCCAACGTTCTGGCCTTCTGGCCGGCAGGGACATCTCCAGCCCCTCTTCCCCCCACCGGCCGCCCCGCCGCGCCCCGCCGCGCCCCGCCGCGCCCCGCCGCGCCCCGCCGCGCCCCGCCCACCGCGCCCCGCGCCCCGCCGCGCAGCCAGTAGGACAACAGTCATGCACGCGGCTCGCGCGTGGCCACGCGTGGTCTGGCGCGGCTCGCCACGGCCCGACACCGGCCGGCACGGCGTCGGGCATGGCGGGCATGGCGTCAAGGCGGTGGGGGCGTTGGGGAAAGGGTACTGGCCGTCCCCCCAGTCCCCCCACGTGGACCCGCGGACCGCCGGGCCTGCCAGCTGAGCGAGTGAGTGTGGGGCCGCCTGGGCCCGGCGACTTGGCACCGGGACCACGCACCACCCCGACGTGCGCTCCGCGCTTGAGGAGGGGGAGGGGAGCCCCTCGTGGGAAAGGACATCTTCCGAGTAGGGACCTTTGTGCGTTGGCACAATCGGAACCCAAACCCGGCCGGGACGCCCACTCGCATGGGGCGCCGCGCTGGTGTGCGAGAGAGACAGAGGACACTCGTGAGGAATCGCTGTGCGGGGCGTGACTGACAAAGCGACCCGCTCGGGCCGCACATTGAAACTATCTCGCCCTCTCGATGTCGAAACTCGAGAGCCCCCGATAGCTTAGCCCGCCCAGGCTAGCCTAGGCTGTCACCTGGCCGAGCCATCAGCGCGATCAGCGCCCTCCTCCCGCGGCCCTTTCTCGAGTCTTCAGTTGCCATGGCGACGGACGCTGCGGAAGCTAGGCGCGGCGCGCAGCCTCTCTCATTTAATGACGAGAAACAAAACAAAAAATAAAAAGAAGGAAACCGCCAATCAGCCCTACAAGCTTCGTGAGACCTTTTTATCTCTCGAGAAACGAGGAGGCGCAGAGTTATGCGCAGAGGTCGCAGACGGATTATTAGAGCCGTCAGGATGATGAGTGGCGGAAAATTCAGAGCACCGGCCGCCGCCCGGCGGACGCCTGAACCACCGGTCTTCTGGCCCACTGTGCACCGTCTGGGTCTGGACTGTCTCGGCGACTGGAGGTGCCCCGTCACCTTTCCACCAAACTTCGTTTACAACCGCACTTTGTTTGATTGTCATCTTTTCGGCCTTGCGGCATCAGATAGGAGTTAAGTTGATTGATCTCGCCATGATCTCGCGCGTATAAATCACTTTGCAGCAGACAGTTTATACACTGTATAAGGCGCAGTGAGAGTGAGGGTGTCCAAAAAATTCAGACGAAAGTCGAAGTGCTCCGCAGGTAAGCAGGCATTTTGCGGGCAAAATTAGGGAAGTTGCGGGAGCACGCCTACACTTTCCATGGTATTTTTTTCGGGCCGGTCGGACCTCTCCAAGGCAATTAATTAGGCATTCGATTACAGAGGCGAGCATCTTGCCCCGAATGAACTCCACTCCGGCCATTCCCTTCGCGCGGTGCCGGCGGTGCCGCTCTGTGTGCACAGTGTGGTCGACGTCATCCTTCACTCCCAACCGACACAGCTGACTGCATTCCGCCACATGTGAGGGGCGGGACGGCGTGTGCTGCATAGCAAACGTAGCAGACTGCTCGCGGTATCGCCAAACTTATTTTTTCCTTTTTTTGGCGGTTTGGTTAAAGACCACCACAGCCCTGCTGCTACCAGCCAAATCCGTCGATAAAAGTAAGTGTGTTATTTTCCGTTGGATGTGCGCATGTCCCTCCAAGTCGCAAAGTTATTCGGTCCGCAAGCTTTCTTTTTTTTTGCCAAATGGGCGTGGGGGCGACGCCGATACGTCGCGGTATCGCGGCGCGGGCTTCGATATTTGCGCGGCTGGGTCGGCCTTCTCGCTCCTCGCACGGCGACACGTTTCAAGAAACTGGATGCACAGTGCACGAGCGCCGAAGCGATGATTTGATGTTTTTTTGTTTTTGTTTTCAGCTCCACTTACTAAGTGGAGGCGCGCCCATTCCATGCAGCACGTCCATTCCGCGTCCGTCCTCGAGATTGTGGACCGACCTTTCCAAGGGCACGGCCTGCACGGCCTGCACCACTATCTGCTGGGCGCCGGGCTCACCGACCGCCAAGTCAAGGAAGGCCGCGGCCCTGAGGGCACGCCGTCAACCCCCGCGCCGCGGACCCGCTGACTAGACGCCACTGAGTTTTTGGGTGGCCCTGGGTGGGCAGGCTGCATTGCCCTGAATTGCCCGCGGAGGGCGGAAGCAGTGTGCCAGCATTCGGAGTCAACATGTGAATTGGGCGTCACGTCACGCTGGCTGCAGACTGATTCCGAGAGTCGTTCTCGTCGCTCTGTCTCTCTCGCACCCCTCCGGCGCACTCCACGAGTGCGAGAGAGACAGAGCGGGCAGCGAAATCGCTCGACTGGCACACTGCAGGGCCCCGGAGGCCGCGAGAAAGGCGATAACGTGCGAGGTGGGTAAGGCGATATCGAGTATCGGGACGATATCGGGGTCGCGTACCGCTACCGCGTATCGCCCTCTTCAAGTCGGTCGCCGTCATACAGTGGGCCAGAAGGCCGGCGTCGGCGGCCAAAACTCTAGACGCGTTTCGAGCTCCTGAGTCGCTACCCAGGACTCAAACTGAACGTGTGACCCCGCCAATGAATTCCTCTTTCGGAGAGCAATCCAATGGTGGGGTCACACGTTCGGTTCGAGTCCGATTAAGCGACTATGGAGCTCAAAACGCGTCCGGGATTCTGACCGCCTCCACCGGTCTTCTGGCCCACTGTGCGTCGCCTCGCCGGACTACGCCGGACGGGCGGACACGTGGCGCCCGATTTTTCAAGGGGAGCGCTCGGCGACTTTGTATCGATCTCGCAAACAAGTTCGCGCCGCACGCCCACACACAACACGCCCTTCCTGCGCACCTTGACCTTGGGGGCCTCGGACAAGGCCTCGGTGGCCTTGAGGGGGCGCTCCGGGAAGGCTGCCCCCGCCGTGGGTAGGCAGCCGGTGACTGGAGAGAGTCCTGCAGGATGTGCCCGGACGGACGCCAATATGAGACGAACACGGATAGCAATCAAGCGAGAACGTTTTCGCAAATGAGGAAGGGGAGGGGTGGGGGAAGGGCTCGTCGCGCCCCATGCGTCGAGTCGCTGACGGGCTGGCGCTGGCTGTGTTGGCGCAGTGTAAACAACAGGACCAGGGAATAAAGGGTACGTGGTCTTTGAACCCAGAAAGCCCAGCCGTCCCTGTCACTCTGTCACGCCGGCAAGGCGTCGCACAGTGGGCCAGAAGACCGGTGGAGGCGGCCTGAACGCGTCGGCGATTCGGCGCCGAGTGGCTGGGCTAGCCGGGCCGGGCCGGGCCGGGCTATCTCAACCTCAGCGGCGCTAAGCGTGCCGCGGCGTGCCGTGTGAACCGGGAACGGTGGCGGCGAGACTCAAAGCCAATCGATTAGACTTCCCGGCCGAAGAGGCTCGACGGGCCGCGTCGTGGCCGAGCCGGGCCCTCGGCCGGGCCATCCTTCGGACGACGCATCAACGCGGAGGTCCTTGGGGCGTAGCTCGCGTAGCACGCTTCCCCCAACCCAAGGGAGCTGGCCGGGCCGCCTGGTCTTTGCACTTGTGATGATTAGTTTGTCGAGGTGGACCCAGGGCCGAACAAGATGGGCCGCTCGCCGAACCAATCTATTACTCGGCGCGGCGAGCCCACGCCAGCCGGTCAAAGTTTTCTGCTCGTCCGTTCGACTACGTCCGTCCGACTCGCGTGAACATCCTCCGGCTAAAGCCGCCACGCGTTTCGGCCCGTGTTTGAGGACCTGGCCGTTGCCAGGCGACGCCAAGGCGACGCCTCCACACCCGTCCGCCGCCCACGGCCACCCGGGCTTCTCAGCTTACTGTGTACCTGAGTGTGGCGTGTACTTTCCCTCGAACCCCCAGCCAGCACCCCGCGGGGCCCGCGCGCCTACCCCTTGTTTTTCTGGCCTTCGCGTCGCGTCGCGTGGGATCGTGCTCTCCGCCCCGCCCGTGGCCGCCGTCCCGTCCGTGTCGTCGCGCTCCCGGCGGCGAGGCGACCCCGGCACCCCCGCGGCGAAGAAACGCGAGTAGCCGACGAGTGGCCGAGTCGGGGAAACGTCGCGCAAATTGGGCGCGTTGTTTGCTGCATGTTATCAGTCACCATGTGCGCCGCAAAAGCCTCTCCGACAAACCCCGCTCTCTCTTTCTTATTTTTTCCGATTTTGACGTTCGGAACAAAAAGGAGCACGTGTGTGCCGGCTTTATCAGCGCCGTAAACGTGTCTCGTCTGCGGACTGTTTCCGAGCACGGCTTTCTGTCTCTCTCGCACTCGGGGCGCGTCCCGTGAGGGTGGGAGAGAGACAGAGCGGCAAGCCGTTCTGCATCAGCCCGCTGGTGGCCGAACCGCCGCCACAGCCGGGTTCGCACGGCGTTTGAACCTACGGCACCGGCAGCCTCTGGCGGCCTCTGGTCAGGTTGGGTTGGACCAGCGGCCCTCAACCTTTGCCGCAATCCCATTGAAGGTCGCGAAAAAACTTTCGTGGCGGGGGCAATGCTCCTGGCAGAAGAAATGCTCTTGGCTGAAGAGCTGCTCTTAACTGGAGAAATGCTCTTGGCTGAAGAAATGCTTTATGCTCTTGGCAGAGGAAATGCTCTCGATAGAAAAATGCCGCTTCGAAGCACTGACTTTGTGCCGCGGGCTGGCCTGTCGGCCCCCGCGGCCGCGAGGTCGCCGCCGTCCGCGGCCCCATGCAGCCTCCGCCGTGCCCGGCTGTGCCGCCAGCGCCGATAAGGGAACCGCCCTCGTGCGTGCGATTTGGCGGTTCGGCGCTTTAGCGCGTCGCCACTAGAAACAGCGAGAGCGGCGAGAGCGGCGAGAGCGGCGAGAGCACACTGACAGAATGGGACGGCGGTGGCATCGCCCGGGAAAGGAGGAAGTCGCCATTGCGCTGTGAGTCACCTTCTCATCTCCAGCAGGCTCATTCCAAATGACAGCGCCGCTTCGTCGTTCCGTCTCTCTCGCACTGCGGGGCGTTCCGTAGGGGTGCGAGAGAGACAGCGACGAGAGCGGTGCTGGGAGGCAGCGCGCCGGCTGCTGCCGCGTGACGGGGTCCATCACGCCCCGGCGGCGTGTCGCGTGTCGCGAGTGCCGCACGGCGTGGTCCTCGCCGCGCCGGGCCGCGCCGGGCCGCTCCCTCTGGGACAGATTCGTTAACAACTCGGTCAATGGAATCCTTCTGGAAAGCCAGTCCATCCGAGCACGCGCCCGCGACACCAGTCACGCGGGGATTTTTAACTGGGATGCAGCGTGAGCGGGACGACGCGCCGCGTGATCAGGACATGTTGTTGGCAGTTTTACCGTAGACTCAACCAAGAAAATTCTGCCTCGTTTAACGAATGCGGGAAGAAAGGAACGCGGTCCGTCGTAGAAGAATATGTTTATTCTATACAAAGATCATTGGTTTCACAGCTTAAGTACACTTTACAGGCGGGTGTAGGTACACACATAATTATGGAGGCTCGGAATGAGAATGTCCGCAGCAAAACGGGTTTTGCCTTGCAAAACTTGGCGTTCATCCACGAGCATTTACTCTCACACACACAAACACACACTCACACACGCGCTCACTATTTACAGGTGACAGTCATAGTCACGCGGCTTGGGAAGCCAAACGCCGTGCGGCGCCATAAGGTTTTAATCCCGCGGGATTGTTATTGTTTTTGTTTTGTTTTTCCAGCGTCGAGCGGAGGGAAGGGGAGGCGAGGCGGCGATACCCCTTCGCTTTCGAGTGGCGGCCACGGCCTGGCCACGGCGTCGCGGGGTATCTCCGCCCCATGACGCACCCACTGCACTGGCCGGCACGAGCTCACGGCTCGGCCAGCTCGGCCTTCCGCCGGAGTAGCCTGCCGGGGTGGCGCCCCGCCATCTCCTCCTCGATCTCCTGCAGCGTCCTGTTCTTGGTCTCGGGCAGGAAGGCCAGCAGGAAGATGGAGCCGCCGAGCGCCACGGCGCCGTACGCGGCGAACGCGCCGGCGGGGGTGAGCGCGGCGAACAACTCGGGCCCGGTCTTGACCACGGAGAAGAAGTAGATGAAGGCGAAGGCCGAGGTGGCGCCGCCGCCCAGCCCGCGCAGGTTGGCTGGGAACACCTGGGGAGAACGGCGTGAGGTTCAAATACCGGCTCGCTGTCTGACCAATACGCGTTTTCGGCCTGCATGAGGGTTTGGACCGTCCAAAATTCTAGACGCGTTTTGAGCTCCGGAGGCGCTAAATGGGACTCGAACGGAACGTGTGACCCCACGAATGGATTGCTCTCCGAACGAGGAATCCATTGGTGGGGTCACAAGCTTGGTTCGAGTCCTTGAAGCTCAAAACGCGTCCGGAATTTTTTTTTCCGGCCCCACCGGTTTTCTGGCCAACTGGGCATGCCCGCTTACCTCCCCCGCCATGACCCACGGCAGCGGCACCAGCCCGAGCGACACGGCCGTGATGTAGAGGACGAGCAGCGAGGTGGGCAGCCACGGGTACCGCGCGGGGTCGCCGAAGCCCAGCACGGCGCCCAGGCCCAGCAGGGACATGCCCGTGACGGCGGCGCTGAGCACGGCCAGGGGCCGGCGGCCCGTGCGCCGCAGCAGCACGCACGCCACGCACGACATGAGCACGCGCACCACGTCCAGGATGATGGTGGCCACGTACTCGTCCAGGCCACCGCCGACGTCCTTCATGATGCTCACCTGCAACACGGCGCCGCTCCACATTACTATACGGCCGACGAAATGCATTCATCTCAGATCCGAAGCCGCCGCGGCGGGCAGCTGTCCGTTGGGCTGCCTACCCGACGGGCGCGGTGCCCCGCGTGACGCAGCTGCCGGTTGGGTTGCCTACCACCCGGCGGAGCGCGGCTGCCCCCACTCCCGCCCCCCTCTGCTGGTCTTTACCGTGTAGAAAGCGACCGCGTTCACGCCGCTGAACTGCATGATGAAGAAGAAGATGGTGATGATGAGGAAGGGCTTGATGAAGCTGCGTTGCAGGAGCTGACGCCACAGCGGCAGGGTGGGCGCCTTGGCGGCGGCAGTGGGGTGCGTCGGCTGGTCGACGGCGTGCTTAGACAGCAGCCCATGCAGCTCCAGGGTGGCAGCGTCGTCGAAGCCTCGCAGCCACCTGCAGCAGGGACGCGGTCAATGGTTTTTAGTTTGCCCCCGAGGGAATTCCCTCCACCGCCTGGCGCGGCCTGGCGCCTCGCGTGCCGCGGAAAGCGTCACAGAAAGGTTTTGCGAGCGAAAGTGGCGCAATGTGCAGGCCGTCGCGCTCTCTTCGGTTCGTTCTGCAGACGACGCGGTGACGCGGTGACGCGGTGGCGGCGTGTTGAGCAAGCCGTCAACGCGCGGTAAACCAGGTAAACCGACCGCGTCACCGCACCAGGCAGCCAGGCGGCCCGGCCGGCGGCCGCACCACGACCAAGGTCACCATAGAGCGGCAGAGACAGCGACGCGTCGGAAACCTGAACCTGGCCACGCCCGCAGGCCGCAGGCAATGACCGGCGCGCGGAGAGGAAGCAGTCCTGGGTGTCCAGGTACTGCACGGTGGCCTACCTGAAGGCCCTGGTGGCCTCGGCCAGGTTGCCCTTGGCGGCCAGCCAGACGGGGGACTCCGGCGACGGGCAGAGCAGGGCGACGCAGGCGATGGGCGCCGTGGCGCACAGCCACGCCGTCAGCCGCCAGTGCAGCAGCGAGCCCAGCACGTGCGCCACCAGGATGCCGACGGCCACGGCCAGGGAGATGGCCGCCAGCAGCAGGCCTCGGTGCGCGGGGCTGGCCGTCTCGCCGATGTAGATCATGGAGGGCGGTCCTGCGGAAGGACAAGTAAGTCAGCATCGCGTCAACGCCCCGTTCAAGCAGCACCGTCGCTATTGGCGTGCTTCGCGTACCCACAAGGCCGACGCAGAGTCCAGTGAGGAAGCGGCCGCCCAGGATGGCGGGGAGGTCATTGGCCACGGCCAGGAGCACCCACCCCACCGTGAACGGGACGCAGATGACGAGCTGCGACCGCCGACGGCCCAGTCGGTCCAGCAGCAGCCCGGCCAGGAGGCAGCCCAGTGCCATCGGCAGTGGCGCCATGCTCGCTGAAAGAAAAACAAGCGCGTGAACAAAAGTATTCCGATACCGGGAATCGAACCCGAGCCTCCTGGGTGAAAGCCAGAAATCCTAACCACTAGACCATATCGGATGGATGATTGACGATAGGGCACGGCGCGCGCCGTATCGTAAAGGAGGGGGGCGGGGCAGCACGAAAATGGCGCCAAAACTCCGCGGGCCCACCTCCGAGCGTCCCCGAGCGCGTCGCTCGGGTTTCTTCGGGTGCCGGCTTCGCGCTGAGTTCGGCGCTCGGCGCGGCGCCTGCCGCACCGCCTGGCGATGCAGGGGATACAGGGTGTCGCGCCGTCGCGCGCCGGAGGCGAGCGTGTTGCCTATGCTTGAATCGGCGGGCGCTCTGACACTGGGTAGGACGCGGAGAGGGCCCCTGCCCTTGCCGAGTGACTCCGAAGATCGGTTCGTCGCTCTGTCTCTCTCGCACCCTTACGGAGAGCCCCATGAGTGTGACAGAAACAGAGCGACGAAACGACTCGTCCGAATCGCTCGGTTGCACCCACAGTGCAGAAACCGGCATGGACGCCTTGTCAGCTGACGCAAAGAGCAAATAGGCGCTGTGCATCTTGTTTAACCTGGTTATAGTGTATAGTGCAACGGGAGAGACGGGCTTTATCTGGCGCGCCAAGATAAGCAGCGGGTTGTGATGATTGACGTTGCAAAAAAATAAACTGCGCGATGAAAAATAAACAATACTTTTCTGTCCTTATTCTAACGCAACAAAAGGCCCCGGTTACTTTGTCGCAGGTCACCCTCCGGGTTCCTCACCGATCCACGAGGCCTGGTTGCTGGTGATGGGGATGGTGGAGTTGGGGTGCAGCAGCTGGGGCAGCAGCACGGCCGAGTAGCCCGTCGTCATGCCGGAACTGACGGTCGCCATGACCGGGCCGGCCGCCACGAACGCCTGGACAGAGACGCACGCGGGTTCAACTCCCACCGAAGGCACCGCAAAATTTTATCTTCCCGCCTAGCGTTTACAGTTTGCACAACTGGAGGCCGCAGAGTTCGCCTCAGTGATTTACAGTGGAGGGCTGGCGCTTTATGTTTGTGCTCTGAGTGTGTTTGTTTGTGTGTGCGTGTGTACGTATGCGTGTCTGTGTGTGTGAGTCGCGCAAGCAGTACTCACCTGCCGGACGAACGGAGAGAACTTCTTGGCGGGCGCGCCCAGATCATCCTTCTCCTTGCCGGCCTTGGTGGCGGCTGGCACGACGTCCACCTTGTCGCCCAGCACCAAGGGCTGCACCTCGTGCTTGGGCGTGGCCTGGTGCTCCTTGCCCATGGTGGCGCCTGGAAACGCAAAATGCCCGCGGTCAGCGGATCCGTGCGTCCGAGCGAGCGTCGACAGCGTCAAACCTATTTCCCTGCCGATCTAATTTCAGCAGACACGTTCCGACAACGCGTGGATAAGCGCCCGTTATGCAAGTGTGCACGGGGCGGCACGGGGCGAGCGCCACGGGCCACGGGGTGAAGTGAAGGCTGTCCTTCAATAACGCGGCGTGACGTAACAAGAGGTCGTTGGCGGGACGGGGTCCGGCACCCTAGCGCAGTGGGCCAGAAGACCGGTGGAGGCGGCCAAAATTTTAGACGCGTTTTGAGCTCCGGAGTAGCTAAATGACACTCGAACCAAACGTGTGACCCCACTAATGGATTCCTCGTTTGGAGAGCCTCTCTCGCTTCGCTCAGCAGTGGTGCGACAGAGACAGAGCAACGGACCCAATCAAACCCACACGCGGCGGGAGACAGACAAAGACAGTGTGAGTGCCCTAGGCCGCGGCACTGTGTTCTGTGGCTCCGAGGTCGAGCTATTCGGCTCCGTAACCTTGCCGGGCTTGGCCAGGCTTGGCCGCGACGCGTTCCGTCCACCTCCTTATCAGACTGCTGTAGTGCTGTATCATCGGGCTCCGGCCGCCGTCAAAAGCCGCGGCGCTCTGAACAATTTGAGAGAGAACCTTGGTGGTGAGGCGCGTCGCGCGCGTCGCGTGCCTAATTAATAACACAATGTGACAGACTGACGCAATCTTCTTTTTGTTTATTTTTTTCACTAGTGGCGGCGCGTATGACGCCGCACTCTTTGAGCCCTGCGCACCATCGTTGCGTCGCGTCAGCCGATAAATTTGACGAGCCTTCCCCCCGGGATTTCCAAGATCGGAGCGCAGGGCAGAGCAGGGCAGAGCGCAGTTACGGGTGACTTCTGTGCGATTCGGCGCCGCAACTGCGTCCGAACCGTTTCCCCCGACGAAAACATTATTCTCATTATTTCACACGCGCGCTGCCCTGCGGCGCCGTCGTATCGCCGTGAAAAAACACACCGACTTATCGACGTTTTATTCGAGAATGAACGAGTCGGGGCTGCTGGCCGTGCTGGCTCTATGAGGCTCCCAGGCGGAAGCAACCGTTCCGGGGGAAACCCTCGCGATATCACGGCGGACTACGATGTCCACCCTCGCCGGTCTGGGCAGACGAGCGGACGGGCAAACGGACAGGGAGACAGACACACACAGACAGCATCAGACAGACAGGCAGGCAGGCAGACTGCGAGGCGAGAGGGGCGCTAGCTGCTGGGTTGCGCTCCCTTTGCGGTGGTGCGCTAGCATGCAGCGGTACACTACCACCGCACTGCGATGACCTAGCGGGCCCAGTGGTGCGCTGAACTGACAGCGAGTCGGGCCGCGCGCCTTTCTTTCCAGTGGAGTGCATTCCCTGCGGTCGGGTACGTCACCGCCATCGCGCGCCGACGCGCCTTCACGTCGCAACCCTCGCCAAGAAGAGCCCTGGCGCTACCCCACGCCGGCCACGCCCAAGGCCTGGGAGTCTCGCGCGCGCGGGGTACTTCCTTCCATTTTGCGAGCACGTGCTGGACAACTACTCGTATACGCCGCGCACAGTGGGCCGGGCGCGGCCAGCTGGCTGCCCGACTCGGCTAAATTGATTCTGATTGTTCGTCGGCCGCGAAACTGCATTTCATCCCGTCTCTCCATCACAGTGAGGCAGACCGCGGCAAAATGATCAACTCGATCTCGGATCGGAGCGACAACGGAAACACTCACTGTCTGGCGCCGGCTTTTGGTCCAACTGCTGCACTTTCCCCCGGACCTTGGCGTCCTTGGGCACGCCCTGCTCCTGCTCGAGGACCTGCTGCAGGTTCCTCGAGAGCTGGGGCTGCTTTAGGTCCTCGGGCCGAGGGGCTGGGTTGTCGGCAGGAACCTGCTGCTGCCTACTCTGTGCCTCTGGTGGCGTTTGCGGCCCACCATGCTGGACGCCCTGCTCGACACCCTGCTGGACGCCCTGCTGGACGCACTGCTCGACGCCCTGCTGGACGCCCTGCTGGACGCCCTGCTGGACGCACTGCTCGACGCCCTGCTGGACGCCCTGCTGGACGCCCTGCTGGACACCCTGCTGGACACCCTGCTGGACTCGGCGCGCGTCCGGCGCACCCGCGCCGCCCTGCATGCTGGCTGGTCCCGGCCCGCGACTCGGCACCCGAAATCGGCGGTTAGGTCACCAACCCGCCGAACGCGCGCGACAACCCGCGGCACGTCACCACCAGGCGGACGACACTTTTCGACTGATGGCTGCGTATGGTCTTTCCGTCTTTCCGGCCGAGCCGATGAGTACTCGAGGGCCCCCGCCGCCAGTGGCACGCGTCACCCGTCACGCGTGTGTTTTGCCTCGACGCCACCCTGTCCGTCAACAACCCGCCGCCGAGCCGGCTGGCTGGGCCGTCGCCGCGGTTTGGCCGCGGTGGCCATGGCGGAGAGACAACACCGACAGCACGCGAAAGAAGCAAACACGATGCAATGAATGCACCGCGGGTCGGGTCGGGCCTCTCGGCGTGTGTGCTCGTCCATTCGTCCATTCGGCGCTCGGGGCGCACACAAAGCACGCCGTGCACGCGGGGCTGCTGGACGGGTGCCATTGACTCGGCGGCGTGGACCGGCCCCCCGCAGGGCACGCAAACCAACGCAAAGTCAACACGCTGCCGCCACAACAGTCCAATAGCCGAGGGCGTAGCGGCACCGGCTCCCAGGTCTGGGGGAAGAGGTTCAACTCCCCTACTTTCTTCAGATTTTTATTCAGCCGGTTTTAATTCGATACGTCGTCCCCGCCAGTGTGCCCGCCTGGAAACCACCGCGCCTGTTTTCATTCCAGCACAGTTCAACAGGTGGGACTTCCCCAAACTAGAAAAAGGGTGCAGTCTCCGAAAATTCCATCTCCAGAAGATAGTTCGAGCGAAAGGCAGTGTCTCTACGTCCCTTGGACCGAGCTCTGGTTCGCAAGGAACTGACGGTGTCCAGCGTCCCGCCCGGCGACACCGATGTCGGTTCTTCCGTATAATTTCGTAATGACCAAAAGTTGCACTGAGACGGCTTGTTTGGTCCGGTTGTGCCGGCATACACATTATCACGTGCCCCAGAGAAACGGGTTTCCGCCGCGGCCTTGACTTGACATATATGGGCCAGAAAAGTGCCATTCGGAGATGACTTTGGGCAAACTGCAGAGGTCAAAGCCGTGAGATGGCAAAAGCCATCAAGCCACGTGTGTGCTTCTGGGTTCGCAAAAGCCGAGAGGTAAAAAAAGGAACTGTGGCGCACAGTGGTCAGTGGTCCCCCAGAGCTCAAAACGCGTCTCGAGTTTTGGCCGCCGGCGCCGGTCCTCTGGCCCACTGTGTAACGGGATGGCAGACGGCGTCCTGGACGGCGATCGAGGACTGAGTGACGCGAACGTCAAGGAGCTATCGGGCATCTTGTTTTTGTTGTTGTTTGGGCCCAAGATACGGCGATAACGGCCCACGGCGCCGACGCGGCTCGCCTGGAGTCCCTCATTGCCAGAAGCGAATCGAAGCGAAACAATGAAGCCAAGCAGCGTGGCGCCGGCACAATACCGCCACAAAAACAGACTCACGTGTGCACTGTCAACGGGTGAGTGAGAGTGGGAGCGGCGATCTCTGACCCCACGTCACGGCCTACGCGATGAGGCCCCGAAGAGGGCTGCCGCGGCGCACTTTGAGTTGCTGAGCGCCAGGTGGGTACCGCCGACTGTTTGTCACTTTGTCGTCACTTGCGCTTCACTTTGTACCCGTCACCTCGCCACTACCTTCCCTCTGTCGTCCTCCATCAATCACTACTTGTCACTTCGTCCTGCATCAGACACTGGGTCGGTTGTCAGTACTTGGGCGGCGGTGGCCTCTTCGTCGAGTGCTTGTCACTACGGCGTCGCGCGTTCGTCTCGTCCGTCGTGGGGCTGGCGCACGCTGGCGGCGGACGTGGCTGGTGGCCGATGCCGGGGCCCGGATGACTGGTTCTTGAGTGAGGCCAGGACACTCGGAACGAACCGACGAGCCGGCGAGCCGCATACCGCGGGGACGTACCGCACTGTGCCGACAGCGGACGGCGGGCCGGGCCGACGGGGCCCCCGAGGTGGGAGACAACGGGCGGGCGCGGCGCGGCGGGCGGGGCGTGGATAAGCTATGCAACCAGCAGACGGGTTACGCCGCCAGGACGCCGCCGGGAAGGACCATTCAGTCAGTCGGTGGTTGGCCGCATCCTCTGCCGCGTCAGCTGGTGCTGGTCCCCGGTCCCGGTGCTTCGGGACGCCCGCGCCGGCAAAGCGGCAAACGCCGCGCCGCCGTGCCGAAGGGGCTGCCTGCCTCTCGGGCGGCGCGCAACCCGCAGGCCAGCCGCGGCTTCAACGCGGCGCCACGCCAACCTAGAGTCCAACCCAGCCCTGCTGGCTGATTCCGAGAGTCGTTTTCGTCGCCCTTGTCTCTCTCGCACTCATGGGGCGCCACGTATAGGCGCGAGAGAGACAGAGCGACGAAAACGTCTCCCGGAATCAGTCTACAGCGCCCAGCGCGGCCCAGCTGCCGCACATTGTCACCATGACGTCATCTCCCTTCTGATCACGCCCCGCGCCGCGGCCTTCCCTCGGCATGGCGCGAACGCGAAATATAGGTCGGGCCGCTTCCGGAGCGTCCGCCTCGCCGCGTGCCTCGCATACCGCGGCACCGCGGCCCAAACCCAGACCAGCAGACTCACTCCGAAAGTCGCTTTCGTCGCTCTGTCTCTCTCGCACTCACGGAGCGTCGCGTATGGGTGTGAGAGAGACAGAGCGACGAGAACGACTGGCGGAATCAGTCTGCTGAGGCCAGACTCAGTCACTCACAGTATCCGGGCGATAAGCTCGACCCCCACTCGAACGCTAGAGGTCTGCTGAGGCCTAACAGCGCCGATGACGATGACGCTCCGCCTGGCCCCCGCCATGCAGCCCGCCATGCAGCCCGGCGCAGCGGTGGATCTCTTGCAGAATCGGCCGCGCGACGCCGGCGCAACGGCAGACAGGCTGACAGACAGACCGGCTGACAGGCAGACAGACGGACAGACCGAGCACCGCATGGCGAATGACACTCAATGCAAACAAGGGTATCAGCCGCGACTCGAACGACACGCTGACAGCATGCTGTCGCGTAGGGAGGGTTCGTTCTACTGTCTCTTGGTTCTGCGGCTCCTTTTAATTTTCCATGGCACTGAGCTACACCAAGCTGCCATTTCGTTGGCCGTTGCCATTTCACTCCTTTCTGCATCGGCAGTCGGCACTGTAGGTGCACTTTGGACCTTACCTTGGTCTTCGCCATGGTGGGCGAGTAGGGGGGTCCGCTCGTCGTGGTGGTGCATGGTGCCGCCTATGTCTGGACCGCCACACCGCGACCCCGCCTCAGTGCGAAGCGCGGCACGCAGCCTCCCGTTGAGGCGAGACGCTCGCCGACGGCGTCCCCTCTCCGCCGGCAGCTGGACCAGGACCAGGCCTGCGAGGGAAGTCCCCGCCGCGCCGCCGCGCGCAGGGTGGGCTGGAAGAAGGGAGGTTCGCGGACCGGGCGGCCGGCACGTTCACGACGACGTCGTCGCCATGCTGCCAATGCTACGCGACGTACGCGACCCGCTCGGACCGGGGCAGACCGGGGCGGCCTGTTTGACGGAGTGGCTGACCGTGTGCGCCGACGACGGGGCGGACACTGCGGGGCCATCGTCTGGGTGTCTGGGTCCACGCGGTGCACGGTGCGGAGCAAGACGCCAGGGGCAGCCAGGGGCATGGCGATGGCACAGCCATGGCACAGCCAGGGGCATTGCTCTCATCCCTGCCTCGCGAGCCCTGCCCCGCGGTACGGACGCTTGCCTAGCGTCTAGCCCTGTTACCGGCCAACCCGACCGGCAGCCTGCCACCGCGCCATGTTTATTTATTAGTTTTGACTGATAGCTGACGATAGTGTGCGGAACCTCCAGTTATATCAGAGACCCGGGGGCGGAGACCCATGCGTCACTCTGGCCGCGTGGTCAGAGGCACTGTTTCTCACTGTGAGCCGTCGAGTTCAACCCCTCCTCATTCATCTTATTGTTTTCGAATTTTTTTTATTTTGTGAGGTTTTGACTCCTAAGCCCCGCGGCTCTCCCGAATTCCCGCGCAACATCAGCATCCGCGAGGCGTGGCGTATCGACGAATGCGAAATTGACTCGTAGACAATCCGCACAGCGCGGTGCGCACCATGCGGGGGAACTTGCCGCCAATTGTCTTTGTCACGCCTCACACACATGTTCATAGGAGCGAGCAGCGCCATTGCTGGTGTAGATAGCCTTGCACCCTGCTGCTGCTGCAGCTGACGGTGTCAGTGTCAGGCTCAAGGGCACACGCGCCTCAAAAGCGCAGCTAGCGCAGTGAGATAGTGTTTAGGTGTGGATTGTTCAAAACAGCAGTGGTTCGCCATTCTGCAGATGTTGCATAAGCAGTTAATTAGGTAGACATAAGAAACTTCATCACAATTTTATATTACAAATTAAATTTTTTTACATTAAGAGCTTCTATGTATTATCTTCTGAGCAAGGGGATTTCAAAAAGGCATCAACACAAAGTTTGTTCAACATGTACCATTTTTATTATGTGCTTATGGCAAACAACTTACACAATTCCGATGTTTTGTGTGTAAAAATTCTTTGTTTTTCTTCTTTTTTTTCAAATTCTACCAAAAATTGATGATGAGCCAAGACAACTGCACACTTAGATCTTTCCACCCACAACAGAAACTAGAGGCTTTCTGCCACTTCATCCAACCGGAAGCTGTATTGGTTATTGTCTTACATATTTTGAACAACGCTCCAGTCGCTCCATCGGCAGATTGTGGTAGGCAGTATTGTGTGTAGTTATTCTTATTATTATTACAGATCACGAGCAATGCATCTACACATTACGATTAACAAATTAAATGCTCACGTTCATTCATAAACAAGGACAAACTGCACCGTCATATTTGTTTAAAATTCTACAGGCTAAGTCTAACAGTAAATCCTGCAGATCAGATGGTTTTGGTAACCAAGTTTTGTGGTTGACAATGCGTATCATTTTTACAATGCACTCATTCATAGCCAATACAAGGAGGTGGAAATTTCTGATGTGAGTAAGTTCAAACAAAAGAAAAAACAAAAAAATATAATAATTTATAAGTTCTTATTTAAAATATGTACAATATCATCGTAAGAATGATAGAACAACTTTCCAACCACCGTCTCCAGTTTTGGCTGGAGTGGACCGCGCGGGGGGCCCGCCCCGAGCACGGCGTGGCACGGAGCCCCTCGCGGGTCGGCCTGGCCTAGGCAGCCTAGGCTAGGCGTGGAGGCCTGGGCTGGCCTGGGCTCGCCATGGGCCCCGGAATGTGGAATGTATCGAATGGAATGGCGTGAAAAAGGGCGCGGGCGCATCGCGGGCCCAGCGCAAGCACGACCCGAGAAGAGCTCCCATCCAAGCGGCGCGGCGCGGTGCGGCACGGCACGCGGCTCAATCACTCATTCGTACCCCTCCCTCCCTTCTCGGCAGCGACGCGAAGAGACGAGACGAGGAACCAGACGGCTTTCTGGTTGCTGCTGGTCCAACACAAGTGGCAGGGCAGGGCAGGGCAGCTGGATCCAGCTGGCTGGATAGCCGATGCCGCTGAATCTCCCCCCCTCCCCCACTCTCAATTACCATCGTAATTATTCATTATTTTTACATCGCTGGAGTTTGGATCTAGACAAGTAAATTTTTTCAAGTCTCACATGTAACAAGCTTCAACAGTGAAATTTGTGTACTGACTTACATTAACAACATGGTTATACTATCCTAAAAATATATCTACAACCTATCTATCCAGTTTTCCCAAGATACATCAAGCACTTTGTATCCTAGATTGATGGATCCCATCATCATATCAGAATTTCAAAGTCTAATCTAAAGTAAAAATTAGAACATTGGTAATAGGCAGTAAGAGTAATAGGATTGAAGGGGGGAGGTTTTACAAATGTGTTTTTAAAAATCAATACAAAAAAAATTGCTCTCTCGCAAATATCAGCAAGGTAATTTACACATAACAAGAAGAAGTGTTCCACATTCATGAATTAATTACACTGATGATTCACATGACACTGGTGGATGGAGGCAATGTGGTAGGAAAAGCTGTGCTTCTCCAGGTGCCCCATGCTCGCAATTTGCCCTTTTCGCACAATTTTATAAACCACACTTTTATTCAAAAACATTGCAACAAGATTTTGTTTTTTTCATTTTCTTATTTTACTCTATATAAACGAACAATTAAAGTGTTCTATATGCTCTTTCTTTATCAATAAGTAGTTACAAACCATTTCATTATTTTTCTCTGAACATAAGTCTCTTCATGTTAAAAAGAAATATTATTTCTCACATAATTTATAACTAATTTAGCTCTCCAACATGGTTGTCAGATCACTTGACTGGTTGAGAATTTTTTCCTAAATTACTGGAGCAGGCAAACATTTCCTAAAAACTTGAAGCCCGCACTAAAACTGAAAATTAACTAAAAGAAGATAATATCAACAAAAATATTACTAAAAACAAAAAAGGTGGAGATTTTACAGCAGCGTCATATACATCTTGCACACAATAGTAAACTAAATAGTAAATACTCTTCTCTTCTTTAAAAAAAAAATGAAGAAAAAAAAAATGGTTCTAGAATGACAATTAGAATGTGGCATTGGTGTGATGAGGCTTTCATAGGTGTCCATTTTCCATGCTGTACATCTGTACATTCCACACTGCCTGATAATCTTTCACTGACATGGTCCTTCCAGTCGCACCATCCACATGCACACTTGTATACCATTACTGCAACTCATTCTTAGTTGTCCCTAGTGGCTGCCTACTAAAACGTGGCTCCAGCGAAGCAAATTGGTTTCTTAAAATATGTTTCCGATCTTGACTTTGAGGAAAGTACCTCTTCAATATCATCCATTTATGTCTCCCGTCAGGGCTACTTTTTTGAACACTTTTACAGCGTAGTGTGGGTATGAGTCTACTGAGCAACAGCGGCTCGCAGCCAGCATACGGTGGTGTGCTTAATAGTATGTCTCCTGCTCCAACCAGCCGCCAGGGTATCTACGGAGGTAGAAGCGCCGCACCTCGTCATAGATGAAGATAGAGAGAGTGAAGGGAAGGGCGGGCAGCCACCACACAAACCTGTAAAACAAAAATATATATAGAAAACCAAATAGGTCTAAATGCACAAATCACAGAATGCTAGCACTTACTTGAGCGGGTACATCCTGAGACCCTTGTCCATTCCAGGTGTGTACGAAAGGAAGGCAGCGAGAGCAGTCTCAAATACCAGACCGAAGTTCAATGCCCAATTTCTAAAAAGATAACAAAACAGATAAAATTACAGGAAGAACCATAACAGTATTTTAGCATAAAGAAAGAAGAGAAGAGGGTGTCAAACAGCACCATAAACAGAACCAGTCTTACCTCATTCCTTGGTGAATAAGAGAATTACGCCTTGTTTTACAGACAATCAAATCAGCCCACTGCACAATGACAATGGACACGAAGAAAGCAGTATGGCACGTGAATTCAAGAGCTTTCCTGTCCCTGTACGTCTGTAAAGAAGAAAGACACAAGAAAATTTAATTTTTAACAATAAGAACTGTAGGATTGATTTTCCAATTTCATGCGATACTGACTTTAGTATGTTAAAGAAAACTTACCCATTCTTGTCCATATGAATCGGGAAGGTCGTTAATGGCCTTCGAGTCCCAATGCTTACGGATACCAAACAGCTTGATGGGCAGGAATCCATTTTCAGCCATGATCACGAAGTACACAAAGAAGCCAGCGGCAGCTTGGATCATACCAATTTGGCCGTAAGCCATGGAGATGAGCCTGGGAAAGTCCAACACATTGTTATAGGACAAATTTTAAAATGCACTTCTACTAACCAACCACCAGTTAAACCAATATTTAAGTCCTTTTCATCTAAATATGTGTATTAGTTTACTCTTTAAGCAATCTTTAAAGCGCTGCCCAAAACTTACGGTTTTGGATAGTATTCAATTAAACTGACAAAACTAAGGAAACAAGAATGTTTTCCTTTTACCAGAGGGTAATGAATTTCAAAATTGAACTTTATTGGTTCATAAACGAATACCGACATGTAAGCTCAAGATGTTAGCAAGCTGCTTTGTTGGAAAACATGAATTACAAAGGGGAATGTAAGGCTGAACCATGGGAAAGGAAAGCTAATGCTTATGGCCAATATTATTATTAATGGATGCATAGGTAAGATTAAGCAATCAAAGCTTAGAATGAAGGAAGCCACATTAGATCACAGACATCACACCAGCATGATCAGATGACGGATTTTTTAAAGTTTTAAGAAGATTGTTTTCGCAGAAAGATTATTCTAAGCAACGCTGGATGGTACTTGTATAAATAAACCAAAATAGAGGAAAAATTCTTTGAACCACTGACACACAACGGCCTTTCATCCCTCTTGCATTCAAGCCTTGTGAGTATTCAAAGGACGCTTAAGCACCATTCACATTCTTAGGTATGAGACCATTGAAATATAAATTTCAATCAAAATATAAATTTTGATTGAAATGTCACCTTAGAGCCACACATTACCACAAATATCGCACATTTTGAAACTAACAGTTTTAAAAATGAGCTACATTATATTTTTCAATAAAATGTAGAAAATTTAGGGAATCCCAATAAAAATTAGGCCATATTTGACATGTTTCCTTACTTTGTGATAGTTGTGTGGCTTTCTAATGTCTTAAAATAAGAGCGACTTGATCCCTGGCATATACAACAAACACACATTCACTCACTCACTCAGTCAGTCCAGCTCGTGCACACATTTGAAGCTCTTTCACATCAAAACAAACCAACACACCACAGCAACAGATGTATAAAAAAAATACTTCAAAAAAATTGAAAAATAAAAATGGGAGAGGAACACACCACACACACAACATTCACCTCTCTCTGGCACCGTAAAACATAGTGTAGCAATGTCACCTGTTTGTTCTGCTTTGTGTTTTTTTTTTTTTTTACCTCTTGACAATTGATGAGAGATTGTTGGGGACTTTGATGGTAGTTAAAGAGCAAAGTTAAAATAGATATCTTCAACGTTTAGAAGAAACTAATTGGGCCTACGGGATAGTCATTAGCCTACATAAATCACACAATTACAAATACCAACAAAAAGCATAACAACTTTTAAAAGTATAAACCAATACATCTTACATTCACATTAAGTTTAACTATAACATGAAAAAGGTTACCTGGAAGTAGAGCCTCTTGATTCACATGTTACATGTTATACTCCAAATTGCAAATTCAACACAAAAAGAGAACTGCTGCTACATAAGCAAATCTTAAGAAAAATTTGCTTTGCAGTCATGAGAAGAACTTTGACTACTTTTGAAGTGCTGCTTAGAGTGCATGGCAATGCAGGGAGCATTCTTCAAGTGTCTGTGACACAAAATTGTGCTGCATACTTAACTTATGCAACTTAGTTTCAATAGAATTCAAGACAAGTATTAAAATTTATTGTTAAGGTTTTTAAACAATTATCAATTTATTCTTTTAGTGAGGTTATTACTTAGTTAATGGGATGGTTTAAGAAAATAATAATGCATTAATTATTAATGTTTGATAAAAATTACCAAATTGTTAACTATTTTATTGTGAATAGACTAGAGAGAATAGCAAAGGGACTTTGAGTGCTGTTGTGATGAATGTGGGTCTTGACCACTCATAGGTGCATTGAAATGAGTTTGACTCATTTCTGTGATAGTGTAGTACTATGTAGCAGTAGTGCATTAGTCATGATAGAGTTGGAAGGTATTGGGGAGAATAGTAATCAGCTTTACCACAACCAAGCTGTTCATCTTCTTATCCTGCCATGTATCCTGTACGATGTTTCTAGATGTGGCATAATACACATTAGTGGATTACAATAAATGAGGATAACTTGACCTAGATCCGATATAAGCCTTACACACTGAACAGAGCATCCTATATGGCTAGAGACCATGCATCTAGGATGTACCCTCTGATGTATGAGATAAATGATTTCTAATGATAGCTATTAGAGAATAAAAAATGTATGATTTAAACATGAGAGCAATTTTCAGAAAGGCAATATACACATTGCTTTGTCCTCAAAACCCCTTTTGTCAAAGAAGGAAACATGAAAAAAAAAATAAAAAATAACAGGACAATTCTTTTTACCATGCCAGTTCAAGTGTGTATTTATAGCTTTACACTTTCTGAAAATTGTTACTGTCAATCCATCCAATAAAATATAGTTTGAATGTTTAACATAGACCGAGAAAAAATGAAACAAAAGTGGAACTAAACCTGATAAAACATGATGAAACCAAAAATTATGGATTGAATGACACACACGGACAGCAAGAGACAAGATATTTTAAGACCCACCTGTGATTCACCAACTTGTCACTGTACGGGTCACGTGGCTGCCTTTTCATTATGTCTGCCTCTGGAGCTTCATAAGCCAGAGATATAGCAGGCATCTACGGTGTAATACAGTACAATGGTTAGTTCAAAGAGTTCCTGAACACCATGCATCGATCGATATTGCTCCCTGTTACGAAGGGTATCGACCTGGTGGGGACCCTGACTAGTGGACAACTAACAACGTAGTTTTGTTTTTCACTATACTATGAGTTCAGAGTATGGATACACGGGTAAAGAGGTGGAGGAGGAGATGATGAAATGGCAAGATGAAAATGGAAAGTCGTGGAAGCTGTAGTGGAAACTGTCAGGGTGAGAGGTGTGTTTGTACTGTGTGTGCAAAATTGCATGCAAAAAGAACCACACCAAAAGCCACATCAGATTAGCTAGCTAAATATGTGTGTGATATGTAACAACCAAAAATGCAATTTTTATACCATAACATCTCAGAGTACAAAGTAACAGAATTAAAATTCCACTTACCTCATAATTAACTTAAACGGCTATGTAACTTAAAAATAATCTAAGCATAATAAGCAGAGTAATTCAGTCGCTAGAGCAAAAGAATGCCTCCATTCATCAGCCCGTGCGAAGGCTGAGGAGGCATGCTTTTGCTCAATTTGTTAAGAATTATTAAACTTAAAGAGAGAGAAGAGAGAGAGAGACAGACAGACATGTTCCACAATTAACAAAAAAATCATTAATATGAACTCTTAAGTTGTCTCATAATTTACCTTTCGTTTACGAGTTTATCTGTGAAAGGATTTCGAGGCTGTCGCTTCATGATATCTGACTCGGCTTCTTCATAGGCCAGGGAAATGGCAGGGACCTAATAGCAAGGCAACACCATGGTGAAAACAAAACAAATCAATACAAACTAAGGACCAGCTACTAAGATAAAGAACACAAATGTTACAACACAGTAAGCATTCCGACGCCTCTGCAGGGTTTCCTACAAGGCAGGTGGGAATTTAGTGCTGCGGCTGGGACGAAATAACCATGCGCAGCATTGAAAAATTCCATGACCAAAACCAAAGTCGTGCTCCACCATCGAACAGCTTTGACATGTACAAATTTGAACATCCTAAAACGCAAATAAAGTTGACATGCTCCTTCAATGAGCTAGACGCATTCTTCAGCAGACCAACTATCATCATTTAAATTTTCTCAGAACCTTATTGATGGACACGTTCAAACATTACTGAGAAATACTAAAAGATAATTTTATGAAGAAAATTGTAAAAGAACCTATAAGATATAAAAACCCAAATGCATGGAGGAAAACACAAAAACATGCTAAACTCAAGGCAGTCTTATTATCCTCAAACATCATAAAATTAAATATTGAAACAGACCTAATACTTGAACGTCTCCAGACTCCCAAATAAGAACAAGCAAGGGCTTCAAGGCTAGCCTACAGCACTACGTGACAACCAACAATGTACACCAACACAAGCAGTTAGCGTTCCAACTTATAACAGCCTAGCACTAATACTAACATCTATCAAACTATACAAAATAAGAACTTTCAAAAAATGATAAAGTGTACTAAATTATTTAATTTTACAAGAGAAAAATCTGATGAGCCGAGCATGTGAACAGAATGGTTTGGATAGGGAGGTGTAGGGTGCAGGATCACTTGTTTCCACAGTTCCCTCAGCCATGACATCTAACATCCAAACCAATAGTCAGAAAAAAAATATCAGATCCTCTTTAGATGAAGCTGTCATGCATCTATTGTGATATGATTGTGTTTCTATTGAAGGGAAGGGAAGTTAAATCTATAGGGGTAATATGACATGGGATGGAGTAACACCTCACAGAACAGCAAAATACCAGAACACACCAGAACCCCAAACTGCAGAAATGACATTCATAAGACCAGACTTTGCACCACAGTGCCATTTTTTGCACACATTTATACACAGTATACTGACTTCAAATTCTATATCAAATGCCACGTGGTGCAAAATGAGGTTGCAATAAAAGCACTGACACAAAGGCTTCGATCCAGTCAAGCATGAAAGTCAAGTCTGAAAAGTAAGACTAAACATATGCTCCACTGTTAAGCACAAAAAGCTGAACCAAACAAAAGCACTTGGATAGATATTAAGAAGAAGAAGTTCTCTGTATTAAAGTAAACATTATTTTTTATATCATTAGATCAATGACCCAAATACATAGAAGTATTGAAACTTATTTCAAAACACGACGTAGAGACTTCTCCAACCGAAATCATCCATTCAATTCTGAGCCCACAGGCAATGGGTTTCCCCCTTAAAAACCGCCAGTTTAACATTCAAAGCACCTGTAAAGTTTCACTAAATTGACCTCATCAATAATGTCTTCACTGGAATCCCCTGCATGAAGGAGGTATGAAGAAAAGCTTTCATTCAAATAATTGAATTAATGAGGAATAGAAAGAGCTGGCAACACTGTGAACTGTGATTGTAATGGACAAGACAAAAAGGATTAGAAATGAGTACTTGCTTGCCACCAGGCAGTCGTTTCCTCATGCAAATTCAAAATAACTGCACCTGACTTACTCCAAAATTATTCCCATTGCTAAATTAAATTTGCCATAAGTCCCCATATAATTGTTAATAAGCAGACAATAGATGGTCCCCCAGGCAACTTAATCTCTGACATTTCAGTCTACCTTTTGTTGACCAATTTGTCATTCATGTTACGAGGAGGTTGCTGCATGACATCCATCTCTGGAGCTTCATAGGCGAGAGAAATTGCTGGGACCTGGCAAACACAAGTCTTCAACAACGATATCTATTCAAGTGGAGAATCTACTTAATAATGATACAGTGATGTGAAAATAAGCACAAATATTTCATTAAAATATTTTTCTTTTTTATATGCAAATGTTTAAGTCTTAAGTAATTCCCAAACTTAATGAAATTTGAAGTGCTTTCTCTTTAGTGGCCATATTTTAGGTGAAGTTTACTTAATGAAACACAACTACAATTACTGGATTAAAATATTGCGGACTTGAAGGTTTTAAAAATAAAATTATGGAAAGAAATAGCTAATAAGAAAAAGTCAACCATAACCAGATTGCTTAATAAATTGTGATAAAGTTACCACTACTGTAAACAAGACTATATTTGATGCTATCCCTGCACACGTTCATTGAAAAATAGTATTAGGAGAAATGGACAATAATTGATTTAAATTTTTGAGGTAAATATTAGGCTAGGGCTTCTCAGAATTATTAAACATGGTATTTGAAGTCCTAACCACTGTAACAGCAGATATGAAGAGCATCAAATACATGGACACAAAACAAACTACATTAACAACATAGCCACACATGTATGCTGGCAGCCACTGTAGCTGCTCGCAATCAGCGTACACAGCCGCCTCAGCCACCAACTGCACACAACCCACACCAAACTACAAGCTACTCTACATAAAATAAAATAAATTCAGAGCTGCAAGCAGGAATCAGTCACAACTCACTACCCAGCTGAAAACCATCAACATCTTCCTCTAATTCACAAAACCTCTAGTAGGCGTTTCCCCCTATATCCATATTCCACAAAGACCTAATACGAAGACACTCCGAAGAAATAGCTATAAGCGTATCTGCAGAACCGCAAACTGCTGCAAACCTTGAAAAAGTATGTCAGTAGAGAATTTTAGAAGCCAAGAAGTACCAACAAATTACATGATTTTCATTTCCCTGAATTGACATTGATGAATTGAAACATTCATTGTTGGTCATTTCTTGAAACTTCTAGCTTACATACACATGTATCATGTGCACAAAAAAGGAAAAAAAAAAGCACATTTACAAAAATGACGATACGCTCAACAGAGCATGGGCATGGTGGAGTGGGTATGGATTGGAGGTAGTTAACATACAAATCAAATCAAGGGCCATGGTGGACAATTTGAGTGTTGTGGTTGGTATGAAATTGATTTTGCAGAGGAGTGATTACGTGGGGAATTGTACTCAATCTGATATTCTCTCAATTGCCTAGGCTGAAGCAGGAGGATGGATCACATTAATACAAGATACAAATCTAAAGTAAATTATCTCATCAAAAATAAGAATTACTGGTTAATGATGAATTCAATACTTTGCTTCTAGCCTATATTTACCTAGCAAATTGTGATTAACTTTTATCTTTTTCAAAAACTATTTCAATTTTTAATGCTCCACATAAAGAAGAACAATATTGTTACTGGAACTATTGGACTTCTCTAAGCAAAGGTTACCTTTCATTAACCAAATTGTCTCTATATGGATTTCGTGGTTTCCGCTTCATTATGTCAGTCTCCGCCTCTTCATAAGCTAGTGAGATGGCGGGTATCTGATGGTTTCCATTTAGAGGCAAACAAACCACATCAACATCCTTAATTCAAAATAACTATCAGAGAAATAAAAGTTGTGCAACACCAAGTGCAACACCAAGTGCATCTCTGAGCAAACAACAAAAACCATGTGCAATTCATAAATTAAATTTACAAATATACAGAGAGAAATTCAGATATACTGCTATTCTGTCTGTGAACCCTTTTGACCAGTAGTTTTATGTTTTGGAAGCAAGGGCACATAGTAGATTGTTGAATGCACCATAAAATGAAATTGATAGGGATGAAAATGAGATGTAGTGCTTGCAAAAATGAGAAGGTAACCCTGGAGGTGTTCCCACAAAAACTGCATGAGGCAGGTACTTCCACATACAACACTCAATTGTCATTTGAAACAAAAACAAATTATAATTAAAAAGAAAAAATAATAAAAAAAACTAGAAAATGACTTGGTATGGTGTTTGTTTCGTATGAAAGAAAAAAACCAATGGCTGATGCGCATAAGAGAGGTGATAGGTTTGAAATTGGATAAGGAAACCTCAATTTTGCATCAGTTGTACACCAGGAGATGACACTGTCTTTCCAACACCATACCAAGCTCAGTGTTCCAAGTACCTTTCAAACATGATATTACGAAAAAGGGAGACAATGTGCAAGTAAAAGAAATTTGATAACTTACCATGTCAGTTCCCAAGTCAATGCAGAGAATGGTAACTGTACCAAGTGGAAGTGGAATGTCTAGCAAGATGAATGCCAGGAAAGGTGAGATTTCAGGAATGTTGGAGGTCAGAGTGTAGGCAATAGATTTCTTCAAGTTGTCAAAGATGAGACGACCCTCTTCAACACCAGTGACAATTGAGGCAAAGTTGTCATCAAGCAGAATCATGTCAGCAGCTTGCTTGGACACATCAGAACCAGCAATACCCATAGCAACACCTGGAAAGTTCACACAAAACATTAAAAGTAAAATTCCTATTTTTAGTGTTTTTTAATAATAATTTCAAAAATAACACAAACCAATATCAGCTTTCTTCAAGGCAGGGGAGTCATTCACACCATCTCCTGTCACAGCCACAATGGCACCCATGCGTTGGCAACCCTCAACAATGATGAGCTTCTGCTGCGGTGAAGTACGGGCAAACACGATTTCGGTGTGGTGGCTAGAAAGAAACAAAACAGTGAAATTGAAAAATAACTTTCAAAATTAAGCAATTCTTGAAATAAACCACGGAAATTATGCAATTACCGAAGGATATCATCCAAGTGGTCTGAGTCCAAGTCTCGCAGCTCAGTACCGTGAACAACAGCAGCTTTAGCTTCACGAGGGTTAACTTCAGAAACAGGGATGTTCAGTCGCTGAGCAATATCTTCCACAGTTTCATTTCCTGAAATAAAAGAAAAATTAAAACAAGAGTATAAAAATGATAGCAAGATTAACTGAGAACATCATGTTGACATGGAGAGAACTAAGCATACCTTCAGAAATGATACCGACGGACTTGGCAATAGCTTTGGCAGTGATCGGGTGGTCACCAGTCACCATGATGACTTTGATACCAGCAGACCGGCATTTAGCGACGGCGTCAGGGACGGCAGCACGGGGAGGGTCAATCATGGACATGAGGCCCACAAAGCGCATTCCAGTGATGGGGAAGTTAACTTCATCAGCATCGAACTTGAAACCAATTGGATATTTGTCGGATGGCAGCATCTGGTCACAGAATCCAAGCACACGCTCACCCAGACCACCAAGTTCCAGGTAAGCATTGTTGAATGCCTCTTTCATTTCCTCATCCAGAACTTTCTCTTTGCCACCAATGAAAATAGTGGAGCATCGGTCCAGAATACGCTCGGGAGCTCCCTTCATGACCGACAGATGCCTGGGGTCATTAGGATCCTCAGTTTCATGGATAGAAATCTGGGGGGGAAAAAAAGCACATTAAAACATAGTAAGTATACAGTGCGTTGAGAAATTGATGCCTTATTTTTAATTTTTTTAACCATCAAGTGTACTTAGTTGAATTACCTGGTATTTGTTGGTTGAGTTGAAAGGCAGCTCACACACTTTCTTGTTCTTCTTCCTGACTGACATAACATCTCCCATAGCCAATTCCATGCACTTCAGAAGAGCAGCCTCAGAGGCATCACCGGCAACTTCCCTGCAACACACAAGAGACAAAATTAAGTCTGCAATTCAAGAAACTGAGAGCGGCAAACACAAGATAGAAAGAAGAGCATACTTCTTCAAAACAGGAACACCCTCCTGGCCTCCTTTGAACTCAGCTCGGTTGCATAGAGCAGCAATCCTAGACAAGGCTTTGAATCCAGGGCTTGTGCGGTCATATTGAACTCCTGACTGATCCTCTGTCGTATCAGCCTCAATGATTTGGTTGTCAAACCACATGTGTGCGACTGTCATTCGGTTCTGGGTAAGGGTTCCAGTTTTGTCTGAGCAAATGGTAGATGTGGAGCCCAAGGTTTCTACAGCTTCCAAATTCTTAACCAAGCAGTTCTTTGATGCCATTCTCTTGGCTGTTAGTGTCAGACACACAGTTACAGTTGCAAGGAGACCCTCGGGTACATTGGCCACAATGATACCTGAAAAAGAAAATAATGCAATGAGGTGAAGAATGTTGCAAAGATAGTTTGTACAAGAGCATGAGAATTATATTACACACCAATCAAGAAGATGACGGCATCCAACCAATGGTAACCCAGAATGAAAGCAATGAGGAAGAACGAAACACCAAGGAACACAGCCACACCAGTGATGAGGTGGATGAAATGGTGAATTTCCTTTGCAATGGGTGTTTCACCAGTGTCTAGACCAGATGCTAAACCAGCAATCCTACCCATTACAGTATGATCACCACAGCTGATCACAACACCTTTAGCAGTGCCTGAAAAAAAAGAAAAGAAAAATATCAGCCCTGATTTTTTTCAACATATTAATAATTTGTTAAAAACAAACCAACAGAAATACTGACCTTCAACAGCATTGGTTGAGAAGAATGCCAAATTCTTAGTTTCAAGGGGGTTCTCATGAGTGAACTCAACGCTGCGGCTTTGAGGTTCAGATTCTCCAGTCAATGAAGAATTGTCAACTTTGAAGCCACGTGCCTCAATAACACGAAGATCAGCAGGAACTCGGTCTCCAAATTTAACTTCCACAACATCACCAAGTACCAAGTCCTCTGCCCTTACTGTTACCTTCTCTCCCTCTCTTATAACTGTTGCAAACTGAAAACAGAAATAAGCATGTTTACTGTGACTTGCAAGCAGTTTTATAATTATAATTGTAATAAAAAGAAAGCACACTATTTTTTTACTTTTACGGGAAAAAAATTAAAAAAGCTACCTAAAGTCAGAATAGTTCAACAACAAAATAACGCATTAAAAATCTAATAAACAAATGAGGCTGACCTACATCATGCTGGAGGCATCAACACAACTACCAAAATTAAAATAGTGCAAATAAAAATTATGGTGATTGATGCAAAGGATCAAAACTTGGGCAAAAAGGAGAAGAGAGAGGATTTTAATGATTGAAGGTCATGGGTGTGCTCTGTGCTCCCACTTGACAGGCTTGGCGTGGAGAGGGAGCGGGGCCAGCAAGGGCAGCCCCATTCCCCTTGCCATTCATTGAGAGGAAGTGGGGGCAAGTCACGCTGTGCAAATAATGCTGCCAACAGACTGCTTCCCTCATGAGGCCTGCCAGGCCTGCCAATAAATCAATTCCAATGGGGTACATTGCCCCTAGTTTCAATATGAAAACGTTTAAGCTTATCACATTGAGTTTTTGAAGAAGAGAAGGAAGAGGGGATCATTTGATGCTACTTACTTGAGGAACTAAGTTTTTAAAAGAATCCATAATTCTGCCGCTTTTGGACTCTTGCAAGTATGAAAAGGTTCCGGTGACCATGACCACCACTGATAGTACAATACCCAAGTATAACTGTAAAAAGCAGGCAAGTGCATGCAAAAACTGAGAAAATGCAAAAAATTCAACAGAATACACAATTTCTACCGCAAAACTCAAATAAATTGAAGAAAAACAACAAGTCAAAATAATACACAAGCAAATCATTACAATACTGAGAACAGGCAACAAAACGAAGTCAACACCAAATAAAGAAACCTGAGGAAGGAAAATCAAATCGACAGTGACAAGAACGTCTACAGTGTGGTGCAACAAGCAAAAACTCCAACAAATTACACCATGCTGCTGTTCTAGGGAGGTCCTCCTTTCTTACCTGAGGGACCATACTTTTAAATGATTCCATAATTGCTGACGATTTAGCTTCCTGATAGTATGAAAAGCAGCCAGTGACAATCACGACTGCTGATAGTACCACTCCCAGGTAGAGCTGTATTTAATGATAATTAATTAACAACAAACAAACCACAAGTTTACCCCATTCCAGGAGACAAACAACATGGGACTGTAGTTCAGACCGACATATAGCAGCCAAATTCTGGAAATGAAGCTTTTCAGGGGGCGAGCCATTTTCTTTGAGGCACATGGCAGCTGTCGGGTAAAATTTGGATTAAGCAATGAGTATAACGGGAGGAGGGACTTACGTTATCATCAGCAGGTTCCTCAACCGTGCTGGCTTGGATGGAGTATGCAATGAAGCAGAGGATGGCACCAATCCACAGGAGCAGGGCAAAGCCACCAAAGAGCTGCTTGCAGAATTTGACCCATTCTGGCGTTGTTTTAGGAGGTGTGAGAGCATTTGGGCCATCTCTTTCCAAATTCTCTTTTGCTTTAGCGTGTGAAAGACCCTGTCAAAACACAGAACCCGGCATCAGACGCGAGACGCGTCAAGTCACTTTGACTTGATACCAAGTTGAGCAGGCCTCCATTGACAATGCCTCTGTGCTGTGCCAACGTGCACCCCCCTAGGGGCACCCCCCTAGGGGCACCCCCCTAGGGGCACCCCCCTAGGGGCACCCCCCTAGGGGCACCCCCCTAGGGGCACCCCCCTAGGGGCACCCCCCTAGGGGCACCCCCCTAGGGGCACCCCCCTAGGGGCACCCCCCTAGGGGCACCCCCCCTAGGGGCACCCCCCTAGGGGCATGTAAGGTCGCATGGACCTTAGGGGCACGGGCACCGCGAGGCCTCGTATCTCGTTTCGCACTTACTCTGTCTGGGCTAGTTTGGAAACGTTGGTAGAGTTCCTCCGGCGTTATTTTATGAAAGTCGATATCCAATTCTTGTTTAAGGTCATCTAAATCCTCTCCCTTTCTTTTCCCTTTAGTCGGGGATTTCCGCCGCGACTGCAAACAAACAAAAAACACAGTTAGAAACTAAATCTATAAAAAAAAAGTTCAAAAAAAATTAATTTGAAAAAATAAAAAAAAAATTGATAGTGATTTATAAAGTGGCGAGTCAATCCGATAACTGCCACAAAGCATTCTATACCGAGCCCACATGTCACTAGGGCTGTTGTCAGCACCCTTGCGGGCCCTCTAAGGTACACTAGGAGGCGCTTCAATGGCAATGGCATATGCATTTTAAAAAAAAATCTACACAGAGAGCCTACAGTGTATAAACTGAGATTCTTAACTACATGCCGGCTGTTCTAGAAGCCACTTACCTTTCATGCCGTACACACAAAGAGCCCCCTTGAACAGGTACAATGGGCAAATGATTGAGAAAAGAAATAATTTCATTGAATGAGGACCCCCCCTTAGGATGTGAAAACCAACCAGAGCATACCTCCCTCCCACCTCCCTTACAGACGTAGAAATTTTGATCTCATTTTTTTGTGGGTCCAGTTTGGGAGCTTTATACCAGTACCTTTGCGACTCCGTCGAATGTTCTGTTGTCGTCTGCCATGGAGGGAACAGTGGCCACTCGGTACGAGTCCGACCGGCCATGCTGCAACAACCAAGCTTCTACTGAGGGAACAAGCGCAACACAGCCAGAAACTAAAACACACACAACATAAATATGCATGTCGCGCAACATAACAGAGAAATAGCGTGCTACAGCAATACAGCTGAAAACAAAAATAAATAAATAAAGGAATAAATAAAATGAAACATGGTAGGCAACTATATTCCACTGCTTGCAGCATTCTAGTCCAATTCGCCTCGCCACCTGTCTCTGTTCCCCGTCGTTTCAGGGAGTTCAAAGCTTACCAGAAACATTAAAAAAATAAAATTAAAAGTGAATGATTAGATTAAAGTTCAAATGCAACAAATGCATCCGCCACAAATCGGGCGCGGCGTGCACAATGCGGCCAAACAAACAAATCCTGGTCGTGTCTGAATCGTCTAGTGGTCTAGTTTCGTTGGCCAGTCGGCCCGTGGAGACGCTCACCCCAACACAGTTCCGTTCCCTGGCGGCCCCCCTCACAGTGGGCCAGAAGACCGGTGGAGGCGGACAAAACTCAAGACCCGTTTTGAGCTCCAGAGTCGCTAAACGGGACTCAAATCGAACGTGCGACCCTACCAATGGATTCCTCGTTCGGAGAGCAATCCTTTGGTGGGGTCACACGTTCGGTTCGAGTCCCATTTGGCGACTCTGGAGCTCAAAACGCGTCTGGAGTTTTGTCCGCCCCCACCGTTCTTCTGGCCCACTGTGCCCCTCCCCCTCCCCCCGGGCCTCATCGGACATCGGACGGGTCAAACTCGCGACACGCCCAGCCCAGCTCTTTCTGCACTTCCGGTGTAGTGGCACCGGGCACGGCGCGGCCACGCCCCCGATGAGCGTCAGACACCAACACAGAGTGCACAGAGCAGACAGCGAGCGGGTGACACAGAAAAATCCGTGTCCGAGTACGTTGGTGTGCATGTGGGTGGGAGGAGGCTCTCTAGCGGTGTGGTGGTCGCGGTCGGGCCCTCTGGTCGGGCCGTTCCGTTCCGGTGACGTCACCGAGAAGCCACGGCGGTGCATCGCCTGCCCTGCATCGCCATGCCTGGCGCGACAAAAAAAAAAGGAAAAAATTTGCGAGCCACCCCCGCCGCCTGGCAGTCCCTCCTCCGCTAAACGCGCTTTCGCTACATGACACGGGAGCATCTTCGGTGTCCGGTCCGGGGCGACGACGACGCTGTGGGTCTCCTTGTTGGAGGTCAGGGTGTCCGGCGACGCGTGCGGCGCGCGCCGGGCCAGACAGTGTGGCGCGCGCCGAGGTTTGCGTAGGGCTTTATCTAGAGCGCCGTGCCGTGCCACGCGTGGGCAAACACGTGCGTCGTCTGCTGTGTGGGCGGCACGGCACGGCAGCGCGTCCTTTTAATGCCCAGCAAACAGACTGGCCGTCTGTACACAGCGCTATCTACAGAACCTGCCGGTCCGCGGCTCCCGCGGCCCTTGGCCAAGGCAGGGCCGTTGGGGGCAAGACCAGGCAAGGCACAGTGGGCCAGCGGACAAGTTCAGAAATACAAGCCCTGGACACGATTAGCGCTACCGAGGTCCTGAGTCGAATCCATCACGCGAGGGTACCAAAATGAATTCTTTCAAAATAAATGTTTTTGTAAAATTTTAAGCTATTTCATTTTTAAATTGCTAAAAACGTTTTGAGAAATCGCAAGAAAATGTCAAGGCAGCAGCAGGCCCTGCACACAAGGGCTCATTGCCCGGCCGGCCAACCCAACAGGACTCAAGATAAAACAGCGCCCTTCGCCCTTGAGCTCGCCCAGTGGCGTGGCGACCCGCGAGGCGACCCGCGGCACCGCGAAGCGAAGGGCAGTAGGGAAGGGAACTCCAATTGGTGCAAGGGCGGGGGCGGCGCAGGACGCATCCTGCACGCCCATCCCGAGCAGCGCTCTCGTCCGTCCGTCTCGCTCGCACTCGCGGAGCAGGCCGCAGCGGTGCGAGAGAGACAGACGACGCGGCCCGGTGCCTGCATCGCCCCTCTCTGGCGGCCCGGCGGTGCGGCGGCCGTGGCCCTCTGCTCCACATCCTGCACGGGCCCAGCCAGGCCGTGCCTCGCAGCCCCGCGGCCCCGAAGGCCCACAGGCAGCCACGGCGCAAAGGTCAGGAGGCCCGCGAATCGGCGTGCATCCGACAGCACGGCAGGCTGCCCGCACCGTCCGCTGGAGAAGGCCCGACAAGATTCCAGCCGAGCGACAAATTTCGAGCAGTGCTCTCTCGTACTCGTGGGGCGTCCCGCAATGCGTGCGAGAGAGACCGAGCGACGAAAGTGGTGGAACCTCGTTGCCGGCCCTGCGTAGCCCTGCGTAGCCCTGCGTAGCCCTGCGTAGCCCAGCGCGGTCCGGCCGGAAGTTCGGCCAGCCCTTCGGCCAGCCCTTCGGCCAGCCCTTCGGCCAGCCCTTCCGGGCCTCCCGGCCGGAAAGACGACAACGAAGGACGGCAGCGCCGCGTCCCTGAGAGGGGTTCGCGGGGGCGGCGCCGCGGGTCGAGGCGCGCGAGCGGCGGGGCTGGCGGCGGGGGCGGGCCGGGGTGGGCGGGGGGGTGGGGTGGCGGGCGCGGCGGCCAGGGGGTGGCGGTCCCGCGAGGTCCCGCGGCACACCGCGCCGCTTCGCTCGCTGTTCTATTATTCATGGCGGAGGGTTGGCGGCGCCGCCAGGGGCTGCTGCGGGGTGGGGCGGGGTGTGGCGGGGTGCCTCGGGGGCGGGGAGGAGGCCGCGGATGAGAGTAATCGTAGCCGCCGAAGGTACACGCAAAAAAAACCCAACAAATCAGTGACATGCCAAGTTTATCAGAAGTTTCAGACCAGCGCTACTGTAAAAATGCTTTAGGTACAAGACTCACAATTCACCGGCCTCCCGGGCTATCAGAGAAGCACAAATATTTCAACTCAGTTGTCACGTTTTTAATGTTGTTTTTTTGTGGGGGTTGTGCACCGGCGTAGTGCCACAGTGTGTCACAGTGCCACACGCTCGGCCACACGACGAGGGGCGAGGCACTCGGCAAGGCGTATCGCGGCGGACCCCCTGCTAATGGCATTACAGCGAGCGGGGTCCCCTCGGATGGCGGCGGGAAAAAGGGGGAGGGGGGACGGGGGTCGTCTAATTAGGATAAAATCAGTCCAGCAGCATAGCGAAGCATAGCGCGCTGCTCGGCCGCCAATCACACAGTGGCGCGGCGTGGCGGGTCTCATCATCATCGCCACAAACGAGTTAGCCAAACGCAGTCGACGTTTCCGGGACGCACAGATGCAGTTTAACCGCGCCATTACACAGTTTGCCCCCCCCCCCCCACACACACACTCACGCACATTAGCGTGCGTTTGTATGCTCGTCCATCATGATCAAAATGAGCACGAGCTTTGTAAAGGCGCGAGTGAGTGTGCGCGTGAGAGAGAGAGAGTGAGAGTGAGAGTGAGAGAGAGAGAGAGAGAGAGAGAGAGAGAGAGAGAGAGAGAGAGAAGAGAGAGAGAGAGAGAGAGAGCTTGAGTAACACAGGCGGTTCCAGCTCCGCGCGCCCAGAGTCCCCGTCGGTCCCCGTCCCCGGCAGCAGCTTGTTGGGAAACCACCCCTCCCCTTCCCTCCCCCTTTGCCGCGAATAAAAGCAACCTGGCCGGCGGGGCGGCATGCTCCGCCAGCTTCGCGTTTCGCAATCAGAGAGCCTTGTCGTGTCCGCGCCGCACCACGGCGGCAGTGCGCGGCATGGCGGCACCCGAGAGGGAGAAGGGAAAAAAGACCCTGGCGGCGGCAGGACAAAAGGGGGGCTGGAGAACCCGTTTGCAGAGGTTCAAGAGAGAGGGGCGGGGTGCACCCTCCTGCTGGAGGGTTGCTGGAAACCCGGGTCGGGGCCTTGGGACGCACGCACGCACACCGCAAGGCCCCGGGCAAAGGGTGCAGGTGGAACAGCTCCAAGGCGGTGGGCCTGGCGGGGCGCGTGGCTGCACAACAAATGACCGGACAATGGAAGGGGAAAGGGGGGGGATTATGAGGAAGGTTAAGGTTGGAGGTAACGTTGGGGTGGGTCGCGAAAGGTCAGAACCAAGTGAGAGAGGTATATAAAAAGAAGCAGGGGTGCTGCTCCGGTGGAAGGGGTGGGGGAGGGCCGGCCAGGCAGCTCGGCCAACCCCCGGCACCGGCCCGGCACGCACGCCACCGTGACGTCACCAGCCATGCATGACCTTTGCCCGCCTTTGCCGCCACCAACTGTCTAAAGTCGAAACTTGGGCCTCCCCTCTAGAGCTACCCCGCCTGGCAAGCCAGCCCAGCCAGGCATGACGCGAGTTCGCCTCCTGGACGGACATGCAGGGTTGCCAACAGAGGGGTTTGCTGCTTCGACCGGCCGGCCTGCCTGGCCGGCTCCGCGTTCCAACTTCCCTTTCTGTTTTCCTCTTTCCCCCGTCGGCCAAGCCAAAGTTGCCGGGCGAGGGGCGGGGGCGGCCTAGAGAGCCAGGCAAGCCGGCCAGGAACAAGGCCAAGGGGCACGGCACGGCCTGGCCCTTCGCCTGGCCGGACAATGGAATAGCGTATCAAAGGAAGGACATCAAAGAACGGGCTGCGTATTGAACTGTCGGCGTAAGGGCAAACCTCCAACTTTACTAACAACAAAAATAGGGGGATTTTCTACTTTCAAAAATGGCAAGCTATAACCTTTTTTTTTTATTATTAAGAGACTCTGGGGGTTGGACCAGTGGCCAATGCGCACGAAAATTCAGTATACCACCCCCCTTTTCTTTGCTGGGTAAAATCAGGGGGAGGCAGCTTTAGGGAAGCCCCACCTCCAGAAAGGGTGCGACATGACACCGGCCTGGATGGCGGAAAGGGGGGGGGGGGCAAAGGGTGACATGCACCCGGCAGGTGGCTGGGAGGGGAGCCCCGTACATTCCGCTTTGCTTGGTTATCGTAGATTGCAGAAACCTCGCAAGCGACGCGCGCCGTACACATCCGGGGAAGGCCCACCGAGCCCGTTCCCCCCGGGCCGCTTCGTCGCTTCACAGTGTAGGCAGTGGCACGTGCCGACAGTGGAGGTGCCTCGATAAAAGTCCCGCATGAGGCAACCCGGCCTTTTCAAGGGCGCGGCGGGACGCGGCGCGCGGCGCCAAGATATTGACAAAAACCAATTCGTCTCTGAAACTTTCTCAAATAGGTTTTTCTTTATCGTCTAAACCTCGTTGCTGCGATAATTCTGGGAGCGTCACTGCGGGCACATTAACAGCGCACACACTGGCCCAAATTGGGTCCGCCACGCCCCGCCACGCCAGGCTCCACGACGGCGTGGGCGGACGCTGCACCAGTGGGCCAGAAGACCGGTGGAGCCGGCCAAAATCCCAGACGCGTTTCGAGCTCCGACGTCGCAAAATGGGACTCGAACCGAACGTGTGACCCCACCAATGGATTGCTCTCTGAACGAGGAACCCATTGGTGAGGTCACACGTTCGTTTCGAGTCCTGTTTAGCGACTCTGGAGCTCAAAACGCGTCTAGAGTCTTCGCCGCCTCACCGTTCTTCTGGCCCACTGTGCGCCGTGGATCCGCGAGCAGCCCGAAGGCCCCGAAAGTGCCTGAAGACCGAGGACGGGCGCACATTTTCCTCTTCGCGTCCTTCCTTCGTGCGGCGGCGATTTTGTTCAGCCAAGTTGGTCGCCGGCGGAAACTGGCGGAAAAGCCGCAAACGAAGAGACGGAACACAAACTGGAGCCGTCGAGGCGCCCGGCTGGAAAGTTGCTCGGCCGTCTCGTCCCGTGTCCCGTCCGCTGGCTACAGCCTCCAAGTTCGGCGCGCCGGAACTTCGCTCAAACTAGGGGATCGATCTCGAGTCGCAGGCTCCGCGCGTGCCATGCGGGGGGAAACTGTGCCAAGAGAAAGGAAAATACAGTATTCGCGACTTGGGGCGGAGGGGATCTCGAATGGTATCGAGCCGGCCGCGCCGCCTCAACCCAGAGGCAGCAGGCTCAGCGAAAAACTTGGGCTGGCGGCAGTCAGCAGTCCGTGGACCCTCTAGTGACCTTTGCATCTGACGGAGCGGCACGGCGAGCGGCAGCGTGGCGGCCACAGCGGGCGGTGGCGGCTCAGGACCTTCCTGTGACCGCTGGGGCCGCTGGCTTTCGTCCGCATCGTCCCCGTGGTGGTTCCGGGGCTTCACTGCACGTGCGGAGGGCGGAGAGCTCAACGCACCGCGCTACCGGCACACCTGGGCCTGGCCCGGGCCGGGTACCGGCACTCCGCCACTCTCCCGCCACTTTTACCGCGGGCCTGGGCGCACCGCCCGCGCCGCCCGCAAGGCGGTTTGAATTTTGCCGGTCACCGGTCCAGTCGGCACCTGCGAACAAGGCGCAGGAATCGGCCGGCTCGCCACGGCCCGGGGCCGTAGGGCCGAGCCGCGACGCCGTGGGACCTTGTCGTGGGGCGTGGCGGGGCGTGGCGGCGCCAGGGGCCTCATGCCATCGGCCTGCCGTGCCCGCGGTCATCGATTTTTCGCCATGGGGGAACTTGAACTGCCGACGGCGGCAAGACAGGCACGCCCCCCTCCTCCTGCAGGCCAGGCTGCAGCCCGCGGCCCCGGCGAGAAGCCCCTTCTGGTTGTTTTGCACCTGCAGGGCCTGCAGGCGGGGTCCACGTACTCGCTGGCTTGCTGGCGGTTGTCACTTGGTGCGAGACGAGTCGAGCCGGCGCCACCGAGTCAAGCCGAGCCGGGCGGGCCGCGCCTGGGCCGGGCCGTGCCGAGCCGAGCCGCCTGCTGGGCGTGCCGCTCGGCGCTGCCAACTGTGCGGCGGCACTGCGGCACCGTTCCGTTCATTTCCACCTTTTCAATCATTCACTGATTTATCCACTGGCTCCGGTGTCGGCGCACTCTTGCCGGCGACGGCATTTTCACAGAAGGGACGGCAGGCTGCTCGGAAGGGCTCAGGTCCGGCCCAGGCCTCAAAAAGCACAGACACTTGACGCGCTCCAACGCCCCAAACAAGTGTCCAAACAACTCTTGCAACGCGGAATTTAGGCTGCAGGTGAATGAAATTAGGCTCGCCGAGCCCTGAGGCTTGGGCGGGGCTCTTCCGACGACGCCCTCCGGCATTCCAGGGCTTCGGCCGCGTCCAGAAGTCACCGCATTCCAGGTGGAATGGCTTTGTTGTTTGTCCAGCAAGGTGGGTCCAGTCGTGTCAGAACAGTTTGGGGTTAGCAGCTTCACAGGCACGAACCAAGGAACTTGAAACACTACCAGGCCGTAAAACAAGCTCTCTAAAATAACATTCTACACATTAATCCGACGGCGCGCCGCCGTTTCTACGAGTTGCCGATGACAGGAGTCTTGGACTCTTCGACTAACCTTGTCGCTAGCCATGGTTGCTGAGGAAATCCGTCACTGAAAGCCACACAATCCTGCACTCCGGTGTAATCCTTCACGTGGAGAGTTTCGAGACTGTAAAAACGAACAAAACAAAAAGGCGGCACTTAGTCCAGTCCACGGCACTGAGTCTTGACGGCACGGCCCGCCGCACTGCTCGCTGCTTCTACACTGCACTCACTCCACTCCCTTCGCTCTCACTCACACTCACGCGCACGCACGCCCGGGCGCGGCGGGCGCGGCAGGCGCGGCGCGGGGGAGGGGAGGGGGAACGAGGTGGAGTGGGGGAGGGAGGGACGAGTACCGGGCCGTCCGGGCCGTCCGGGAGGGGGCCGCGCTGCCGCGCGTGGACAGCACCCCGGACCGAAACGTAACGCACGCCAAGATCGCGGTGAGCAACGAGCGACGAGACGAGCGCGGCTTCCAACTTTGACACTTTGACACTCACAGCCCGAAAAGCCAGCCCAGGCCAGACGCTGGCCGCGCCGCACCGCACTCAACTACACCGCACCGCCTTCGGCGCCTGGGTGATACGCTGCGCTACGCTGTCCGCTAGCTCTCCTCGGAAGCTCGACCGACTCTGGCCGCCCTGCTCCCTGCCCACCCTCGCCCTTCACTACCGCGAGGCGCGAAGCAGCGCGAAGCCGAGACGAGCCGAGCCGGGCCCGGGATCGATACCAGCCGAGCCAGCACGGAGCCTGGGCAGCCTGGGCCGCAGTGCCTGCAATGGACTTTATTGAACCTTTCCAGCCCCAGTCGCTGACGTCACACTGCGTCACGAACCTCAGTTTGGTCGCTTCGGCTCCGCTCGGCTCCGCTCGGCGCTGCTCGGCGCTGGCCGAGTCCACGTTCGCGCGCCGTTCGGCTCCGCCTCGGCTCGGCTCCGGCTCGGCTCGGACGCGGCCGACTCGGCACGTCGGTACTTCGGGCCGCTACAGCCGCTACGCTACGGGCTGGGCGGCGCGACGGCGCGGCCGTCCCTGGAGGAAGGGTGAGGGTGGGCGCCGGCTTGAGGGTGGAGGCGGCGAGGGCGAGGCGGCGGCGCTGGGGGTGGAGGCGCCGGGCCGGGCCGGGCAGCGGTGTGGAGTTCGCTCTTCGACCAACCGGGACGCCGTTTTGCCATGCCTCCGTCCGGCCCTAAGGCAGGCCCTTAGGTTGGTTTGGCCGGTCAAGCCGACGTTGTCCCATGGCTGTCACTGGGTTGGCATGTTGGCGTTGACAGCGGTCGGCCGCCCTGTCACCCTGTGGCCCTGAGAGGCACTGTCGGCACCGTGCACTCCACCGGGCCGTGGGGCCGTGGGCATTCGGCCGGCCGGCCCACAGTGGGCCAGAAGACCGGTGGAGGCGGCCAAAACTCCAGACGCGTTTTGAGCTCCAGGGTCGCTAAATGGGACTCGAACCGAACGTGTGACCCCACCAATAGACTCCCACCAATGGATTGCTCGTTCGGAGAGCAGTCTATTGGTGGGGTCACACGTTCGGTTCGAGTCCCATTTAGCGACTCTGGAGCTCAAAACGCGTCCGGAGTTTTGGCCGCCTCCACCGGTCTTCTGGCCCACTGTGCGGCCTTTGGGCCTGGGCCCCGCCACTGGAATGGAATGGAATGGAACGCACTCCATCATGCGGAGCCAAAGCTTGCGGTGTCAGGCCAAAGTATGTAAGCGCGGTATTAAATTGGTCGGCCACAACACTGTGGTAAACCCTCATCACCACGTGACTTTCCCCCTTTCGGGACTTGGAGAGCAAGTTGAGCCCCTCGTGGCGCGCGCTGAGCACGCACCTGGGAACAACGCGTGCAGTGACGCACGGAAGGGGATGGGAGAGAGAGAGGGAGAGAGGGGGGATGGAGGCGTTGCTCAAAATTAAATGAAGAGGGAACCGGTCATGCACATCCCCTGGGCGGCCCGCCACGCCCTGCCACGCCCTGCCACTCCTCGCCGCGTCTCGCGCACACTTTCAGTTTGTGCCAAGACAAAGTTTGCTTGCCAGCGCGGTTGCGCTTTGGACCGCGGGTCCCGCAAAATTCCCTAGTTATGCAGTGCAGCCTGTGTCGTCTGTGTGCCGTGCCAGGCCGTCTGCATCGGGGGGGACATGCAGCCGGCGAAACTTTGCAGGTTCCCGCCCCGCCACACAGTGGGCCAGAAGACCGGTGGCGGCGGCCACAATCCCGGACGCGTTTTGAGTTCCAGAGTTGCTAAATGAAACTCGAACCCGCCGTGTGACCCCACCAATGGATTGCGCTCCGGACGAGGAATTGGTTGGTGGGGTCACACGTTCAGTTCGAGTCACCTGCTTTCCGGAGCTCCAAACGCGTCTAGAGTTTTGGCCGCTCCCACCGGTCTTCTGACCCACAGTGCACCATCATCGTGCTGCCGAAAGTCCAGGAAATCCCGCATCGCTTCGCCGCCGTGTTCGCGGAGATTGAATGAATGGCGCCCGACTGCGGCTTCATGGAGCGCTTCGCGGGCTTGGCCGGGCTTGGCCAGGCTTCGCGTTCCCGCCGCCTAAACGAGCCATCAAATTTAAACGGAAAAATCCGCACCTAATGAACCGTTCCGGAATCGCATCGCCGGGGAGCGGGGAGCTTCCTGCGGGTTAATTAATGGTTGGGGGCGGGGGAGGGGGGAGCCCCCGGCCGCCAGCTCCGCGCCCCGCCAGCTCCGCGCCCCGCCAGCTCCGCGCCCCGCCAGCTCCGCGCCGCGCCCCACCTGCTTCGCGCTCCGCCTCCGCGGACAATGCCGATGAAGAGCCTGGCCCTGGATGTCGCAAGGGATTAGCGAGGCGTGCCGTCCCCCGCGACTCGCCGCACGACTACATAGTGCCGGACGACCAGTGGCGGACGCGGGTTAGCGTCATTATCCCCTGGTCGCTGAGTGGCCGCGCCATCCTGTAGCAGCCCGATTCGCTCTGTCTCTCTCGCACCCCGATGGACCGCCCCTGCAGTGCGAGAGAGACAGAGCGACGAGGTTGCGGTTCGAACGCGGCCCGATGGCCGTGATAGAGGCGCGATCTAGAAAACTTCCGCACGCCTCACGCAGGTCACGCAGGGACCCGCGCGGCGTCGGTTGGGTGGCCTACCCACCGGGCGCTACGCTGGAGTGAGGCAGAGGGAGACAGCGCTCCAGGCGGACGGTCCACGCTGTATCAGGCCGTCCCATCACGCGCCGCATTCGGCCAATTTTTGTCCTCTTGAATTGCTCGGAAACGAAGCGGGGGAATGCGAAACTGAGCCGCCCTTGTCCCTCGGCCCTTGTCCGTGGGTCCTCGGCCCTTGTCTGCAGCCTCCGCGCCGCGCCACGCCGCTCGCTCGTCCGACTGGCTAAACTCGTGCCCTTTGAGAGGCTGCATGATGATGAATGGCTCTGAATGAGCTTCCTGCGGCTTGGGCCGAGGCTTGGGCCGAGGCTAGGGCTTGGACCGGCCCTGCTCAGCCTCCCCCGCTACGCCGCCAACCTTTCCAGCCGTTCCAGTGTGGCTGTGCGACACGACAGCGCTGCCACCTAACTTAACCTAACTTAACCTAACCTTAACTGAACTGCTGGAAGGCCGTTTCCAGTGGCGAGGCACCTGCTCGTCCGCAGCCATCTTCTGGAGGAAGCATCGTATCAGGGAGAGAGAGAGAGAGAGAGAGAGAGAGAGAGAGAGAGAGAGAGAGAGAGAGAGAGAGAGAGAGAGAGAGAGAGAGACCAATTAAATAGAGTGCCTGGTATCGAGAGAGGCACAGAAGGCTGGGTCGCCATACCCTGTCCCTGTCCACCGGCCGGTGCCGTGCCAGTCGGTGCCAGCAAGGGTGCCTGTCTGGAGCAGCAACTTTTAATTACATCCCTTCAAAGAGGGCGTAGAGCGCGTAGAGAAACAAAGCAGCCTGTTTTCGCCGTAATGAGGGAATATCCTTTTGCCTTATTACTCAGCTTCAGAGTTATTAGCCGAGTCATCAAGGTCTTGTCTCGGCGACGCTTTAAAAAATGTCAAAAAAGTCCGCGAGGGAAGCAAGACTAACGGTGCGTTGTCACAGCAAAGCACACTGCAAGCGCCCTTTCGCGCCAAGTCCTCCCCGGAACACGTGGCGGCACGAGTCGCCGTTGGACCTTTAGGCTTCCCACCTGCACTGCCTGTCCGCTCGTCAGCCGTCCCACACTGTCCCAGACTGTCCCAGACGCCAGGGGCTGGCAGTGGCAGGCAAGGGCTTTCATGAATTTTCAGCGAAATGTCAAAGTCCTCTTCTGGTGAAGGGCGCTCGCTCGTCCCGGCCGGCGGGCACGCGCACGGCTTGTCACGCAGGGTCATCGTGAAGGCGAGGCAGTCGGGGCTCAAGGCGACGCAGACCCGCAGACTGTCGCAAAAGTGTCACGGCTTGTCCGTGCGCGTGCGCGAGCGCGACGCGGCCATGTGAGTTATATTACCCCCTCGCACTCGCACCGACTTACTCGCTGCAGGAAGAGAGGCGAGGTCCGTTTCGTCATCAGTGACTCTCTCTCTCTCTCTCTCTCTCTCTCTCTCTCTCTCTCTCTCTCTCTCTCTCTCTCTCTCTCTCTCTCTCTCTCTCTCTCTCTCTCTCTGCCGCACCGCTCTCCTGTTCGACCCCCACCCCCACCCCCAGCCGAGGGGCACGGGACCGCTCCGCTGTTGCCAGGGGCGCCAGGGGCCACACCGCGAGCGCGGAGCCTGGACCCGGATCACCGTTCTCTATACCTTGGCCCACTGAAATCCAAACTGCGCGAAGTGCCACAGCGAAAAAGTTATGTCGCCTTGTGTCGTCGTGCGATCGCTTGCGTGCTCATACACTCTGGTTAGAGGCACGCTCTAAATAGCGATGTGTCTGACTGGCACACGCTAAAACAACCAACGAGTCCCTTACGAGTGTGCCTGACAAGCACACACTGTTACCACATTCAAGCAATTACTCCTGGCCTTTTTCCTCTGCCAGCTGTCAGCTGAATTTTTCATACTGCCGGGCCACACGCCCAAGTTCCGTGTAACTTCTTTTTTTCCTCTTTTCCCCTACTGAATGGTGGGTTGGTTCCGAGAGTTTCAGAGCTCCGCTCTGCTCCGTGCCACATTTTTCAATGTCCTTATATTACGGGGACACGGGAGACACCACAGAGCACAGTGGGCCAGAAGAGCGGTGGAGGCGGCCAAAATCATACACGCGTTTTGAGTCGCAAAAGGACTTGAACCGAACATATGACCCCACCAATGGATTGCTCTCCGAACGAGGAAATCATTGGTGTGATCACACGTTCAGTTCGAGTCCTGTTTAGCAACTCTGGAGCTCAAAAACGCGCCTAGAGTTTTGGCCACCTCTACCGGTCTTCTGGCCCACTGTGCTGTGCGCGCGCAGGGTATCATCCCCTGCTCCCCTTTGCGGTGTGCCTGCATACAGCCCGCCCCAGCCCTTGAACCAAGTTGGCCTGGAGCGGAGACAGAATATATGAAAGGCCAGGCCTCTTCACCTTATCCCCAAATCCGGCCCCGCGAGGGCGAGGGCGAGGCTGAGGGCGAGGCCGGCGACGGTCCGAGGATCTGGCTATCTGGCTGCCAGCCGCTCCAGCAGCGAAGCACAGTGAAGCACAGCGAGGCAGCGACCCTCCAGGTCCGACCGCGCCCC